ATGCATGAAATTTCAGCCATTTTAATTTCCCAGTGACCGCCACTTGCCAAGTCTGGATATATGAAACCCAATCAGTTGAAAAAAATGTAGGTTTTATGATTTAGTCAGTACCATCTAGCAGACTGAAACATCTTATTCCTACAGGCCTGCAAACTGGGATAATGCTTGCAATTCACAAATTAAGAATAAGACATGAAAGTTATGCCGCATATTGCTTTCTCTGATCAATGCCAGTGCCCGGAAAAAAACACCATTACCTTGTAGGATTGGAATAGGTTGTTGCATAAAAATTTGAACCAATTATACTACTCAAGATAGTTGCAGAGATTTATTTCACCCGAATGCAGGTGGAAAAATGTTTATTTTCTGGATAAAATTTTAGGCATACAGCAACCTTTTTAAATATAATTTTGAATTCTTTGCAACAGCACTACTCATTTATTCCTCACAATGGTCAGTGAACAAGACACGTTCGTTTTTCTTCACCATACCGGCAATTGTGAATAGCCTTGATGGTGAACTTCAAAAAAATAATACATTGAATTTTTTATACTAACAAAGATCTTTATACATACAAAGATCTTAACAAGCCGGGCTTGTGACCGCCGTGAATCGAAGCCCATCGGGATTTGCTGCACGAGCGGGAGGGCGATGACAGCGGAATGTCCCGGTTCGAAACCATGTTGCGAGAAGACGGTGGCAAGCCATGCATGGGAAGCCGAAAGGTTGGGAAATATGAGCCGTTCCAGGATCTCAACTCCCGGGCAGAGAAGGTTGATGAAACGGTTGGACGAGCCCTGGTCACTGATACTGGTCTTTAGGATAGTGATAATTGTGGAGTTCTTCTAGACGGCCGAAATGGATGCCTAGGAGTTGGAGACGTTAAAAATTGAGGAACTGGAGGCCGCTTAGGCTCAGGTGCTTGAGGTGGAGGGCCTTGAGGTTCTCAGGTTGGACCGAATACGGCTCATGAGGCAGCGGGTGGTGGGCTTTGGGAGAGGAGGCCCGTGGACATGAATAGCTTGTAAAAGAGTGGATATCGTGCGCTATAGGAAGTCAAGGGGTGTGTTAATTTTGTAGGCTAATTATTGGGGTGGGCGAGAGAGCTTCCTGGTAAAAGAACGAAGAAGATCCCAGTGCCTATGCAGCGAATCTCGCTACATAACGACTTTTATATTTAGAAAAATAGTGTAGAGAAAATGCATGCTAGCGCATTACCGCATCCGTTGGCAACACTCATTTCCGGTAGACCGCATGTGCTGCCGACTCTCAGTCTCTCCCAGCTCACTTTTAGTACAGCTGCTGCTCCAGCAGGATCGGGTTAATTAAGCAAACTAACTTATAGACATTGCTTTTGGAATTGCACTTGTCTCCAGTTGCGCTTAATGTAGTGTAGCCGTGATAGATGGATTCTGGAGAAAATGCGAGTTTCTGTGTCATTCAATTTTGCCATGCCTTAAGCTCGCGTGATAACTTGCTTATTTACCAAATTGAATCGTGTGTTCACAATTAACAAAGCCCTGTTTCGCAGCAACATCATAGCACCAATAACGCACCACATTGCTGCCATCACTTCAACGAAACGACACGTGCAACTCCACGTGCCTCTAGTCACCACACGCACTACGTGCTCCTGACACCTCGTCATCACCACGTGCTCCTGACACCTCGTCATCGCCACATGCTCCTGACACCTCGTCACCACCACGTGCTCCTGACACCTCGTCATCGCCACGTGCCCTTGTCTCTTAATTCGTCCCGTTGCCGCCATCATCCAGCAGGTCACTTGAGCTAAGAATAAAATACTGACAATTGTTAATTTATTGTAATTAACCAACCAATTTCATCAAGCCGCCCTGGTTGATTTCAATCTGTTCCTATAAGCATTAGAGATAGTATTTTTAGCATTAGAGTATTTTTTGTTAGACATTTGTTTGTTGTATGTAACCGGAAACACCGCTGCGAAATTGAAATAATTACGGGTAGCGTGCCGACTAAGTGGAGACTTTCGTACTGATTCTAAAAACAAGGGCTAAAGAGTCGCTCTTTGCTCCGACTTTAAATTCCCTTTCGTTGGAGAGAGGAGGAATGAACACAAGGAACTTTTCGTAGTATACTGGTAATCTTCAGGCGAATTAAAAGGTTCTTAATATGAGGCGCACAATTTATTATTCGTCTTAGTCCAAAAGTTCACGGAAAAAGGCTTGACATTTCAGGAGTACCAACAGCAGAGAAACTACACAGTATGAGCCCTAATAAACAGCTGAGAATAACAGAATGGATAGCAAATGGTACGAGAACTAGCCGCACCGAGATGTCAACAATCAGTCGCAAAGACTAGGGGTTCTAGCCCTAATGCGCCGCAATAATCACAAAGATGGACAGCAAATGGTATACGGGAACTAACCGCACCGAGATGCTAACAATCAGCCGCAGAGACTAGGGGATCTAGCCCTAATGTACCGCAACGAATCACAAAACAGACAGCAAATGGTACGGGAACTAGCCGCACCGAGATGTCAACAACCAGCCGCAACGACTAGGAGATCTAGCCCCAATCACCGCAACGAATCACAAAACAGACAGCATATGGTACGGGAACTAGCCGCACCGAGATGTCAACGACCAGCCGCAGAGACTAGGGGTCCTAGCCCTAATATACTGCCAAATCACAAAAACGGACAGCAAATGATACGGGAACTAACCGCACCGAGATGCCAACGACCAGCCGCAGAGACTATGGGTTTTAGCCCTAGTACACTGCCAAATCACAAAAACGGACAGCGGATGACACGGGAACTAACCGCTCCGAGATGCCGACAACGAACCGCAGAGATTAGGGGTTCTAGCCCTAATACACTGCCAAATCACAAAAACGGACGGCAAATGGTGCGGGAACTAACCGCACCGAGATGCCGACAACGAACCGCAGAGACTAGGGGATCTAGCAATTTCAAGTTCAGACTTGAAATGCCTAGCTCCTTATCGAACCCGGTGGAAGGCTAGTAGCTACTTCAAACTATCGTCAGTCATGAAAAGATCCGGTCAAATGACACAATTTTATATCTTCCGTGAACAAGGCACGAAAAGGAAAAGAATCGGCGACAGGCCATATCAGGCCTACTCTTCAGCGCCTAGATCACTATTTTATGTTATGTTTATACACTGCCAAATCACAAAACGGACAGCAAATGGTACGGGAACTAACCGCACCGAGAAGCCGATAACGAACCGCAGAGACAAGGGGTTCTAGCCCTAATACACTGCCAAATCATAAAAACGGACAGCAAATGGTACGGGAACTAACTGCACCGAGATGCCAATAACGAACCACAGAGACTAGGGGTTCTAGCCCCAATACACCGCCAAATCATAAAAACGGACAGCAAATGGTACGGGAACTAACCGCACCAAGATGCCGACAACGAACCGCAGAGACTAGGGGTTCTAGCCCTAATACACTGCCAATTCATAAGAACGGACAGCAAATGGTACGGTAACTAACCGCACCGAGATGCCGACGACCAGCCGCAGTGACTAGGGGTTCTAGCCCTAATGCACTGCAAAGTTCCGATTACTCTCGAGGGTGGAAGATGTTACCTCCCACGACACGAGAGGCGCGAATGGCACTGCAGAAGCTGTACCAAAACGCTGAGAAATATAATCGAGTGCAGAGGTTATTAGCCCTCACAACACGAGAAGTGCTCGGCACGGGTACCAGCCGTACCAGAGCGCTACCAGCAACTGAAACTAACCAAGTACTTGACCTATGCCCTTATTAGTCCGTTAGAGGCAATCATTAAGAGTTATCTTCTGAACTACGGTGGAGTTTATTCTTGGTAGCCCAGATCTAGCTACTTGAATTCGAGTCGAAACATGTGCACCCCAACCCAGTAACACTGAGCACACACGACTTTTCCGCGAGGGGTAACTCAGTTAAAATAAGCTTACCTCAACACCCCGTTTACAGTGTATAAGAAATAGGCTGATAAAAACGTCTCTATGCAATAAAATAGATAATATAATATATCAAAATAAAATAAAATCATAATATAATCATTTGGTCAAATAATGATAAGTGAAAGTTGATATGAGATAGAATAACTCTCGAGGATAATTAACTTGCAAGCGCGCGAGTCGATACCAGTTCGTTAATAGACTAGACAAATGAACATTGACTAAGCATTATCAAATACAATGAGAAGTATTATCACCTAATAAAATCATATTATTAAAGAGTTCAACTTTTTGACAACATGACTACAGTTATAATCGACTTCTTATAGAACATCTGTCTCTAAGATGTCTGGCTTCTTTACGCAAGATGGCGGCCTAGCCGTTTTTGCTTTAACGATAGTATCGTAGGTTGACAGCCCTGATTCTCGGACAACAGCAATTCATTACGATTATCACAAAAGAAAAAGGTCCTTCGACAAAATAATAATTATTGCAGCCACTGGGCCACCCTGCCCAAATAAACACCATTCATATGGCGACTTAAGGAAATGCGCCGTACAGCTCGATTATAAATATGAAATTTATGCCAAAGCGATGCAAAAATGAGGTTTTATTATTACGTAGCACTTATGTCGGTCCCTAAAATTTCAATATAAAAAACGCGTCATTTTGGATCCGCATCCGCGTAACTTCTTCGATGCCCAAATAGAGCATACCATGGTTGAACTATACTATTAGTTCAAACATGGGGCATACACCTTCTAAACGTAGGTCCAATGGGGATTGAGCATCGAGACATATTATTTGAATTTTGAATTCTTCAATAAAGTCCTTATGTTGACACAGTATAGTGCGACGCTTCGTCTCGTCATAACTCAGTGTGATGGGATGACAGTGTGGCACAGAGGACAGTGTGAGCGCATGGTGATGTCCTGATGCAAGGCGCTGTGGCGGCAACCAGTGCAGGTCCAGGCTGCACTGTTGTCCATGATGGGGCGGCCCGTTACCACGCAAGCTGTGAACTTCGTGTTGCAGCTTGGACACACGCTCACCCTAGAGACCAGTTTTAGAAATAAAGGTAATAGTTTACTATTCAACGTTCAATACAAGTAGACTGCATTTAGTAAAAACTTATTGATAAAATATCTATGATTAATTAGACAGTCTGATGAAGCTGAACAATAAAGGATGTCAATAGAATTCTAAGGGATAAAGGATGTCAATAGGATATCAATAGAATTCGCCATTAGAAACCTCACCAGTCAGGTATCAAACCCTAAGTTGCCTCACCTCACCCACCACATCACCAGCCCCCACCCACCAGTCAGGAATCATCGTCTCGCAATTAGTACACTCTGCTCGGTTGCTGCGGGAGTCTTTAGGCGGATACTTCAGGAAGATGCTCATGGCCAAGTCCTCGTAGTTTTCTCGCTCTTCGTCGGTGATCTAAGCACACGCAATATTCACTGTTGCATCATTTTCAAAAGAAATAATTACGGAAATAACATCTAATTCAATTACGGAAATAACATCTAATTCAGAATTCATCTGCTCTTCTAAGATATGCCAACTACCTTGATGACGATGAAGCTATCAGCTGTGCATCGATGTTATATTTTGAAATTTCCCAGAGAACTTTTCCATTAATTTGAAATAAAAAAGATACTTCGGCGATAAACAGCGAGAGGATTCTTACGTTAGGAAGGCCTTCAAGCTTGATGAAGGCTTTGGAGCACGTGGCGAAAGCCCTGTTGGCGCAGGACGACAGCGCCAGCAGAGAGAAGATGTCGCGCGCTGGGATGATGGTCTCGTACTCGCGGAGGTGCAGGCAAGTTTTCATTGCGGCGTCAACGTATCCTGAAAATGACATCATAAATCTTTAGTTTGTGCACTATTGCGCCTTGTTACATACTAAGTTATACGATCAGAGATGAGAAGAATAAGCAAAGAGCCATCATGAAATTATATGTTGGTGTTAAATTGAAAATTTCTAATATTGGGATATTGATTAATTGCGATTACATGACATTTTGAAGCCAAATTATGATGTTACCGAGCTGAGACAGTGTAAGACAGTTTTAAATTGTGCATACTAAAGTAGCATGAAGATTGACGGATACCTCACTTAATGTAAAAAATTCTTCGTGGTAGATTGGTAAGTTTGAGAAGTTATTCAACGAATGATTTCGGAATTCTGGAACAAATATGAATACAATTTTGATAGCTGTTCTATACATACGTAGCTGATGCTGCTGCACTTAACACAAGACCTTCATTCTGCTGACGCTACTACATTAAAGATCACCTTTATACAGCTGACGATTGCTACACTGAGGACCCGACCTTCATTTTCCTGATGCTGCTACACTGAGGACCAGGCCTTCATTCTGCTGATGCTGCTACACTGAGGACCAGACCTCATTCTGCTGATGCTGCTACACTGAGGACCAGACCTTCATTCTGCTGATGCTGCTACACTGAGGACCAGACCTTCATTCTGCTGATGCTGCTACACTGATGACCCGACCTTAATTCTGCTGATGCTGCTACACTAAGGACCAGACCTTCATTCTGCTGATGCTGATACAATAAGGACCAGACCTTCATTCTGCTGATGCTGATACACTGAGGACCAGACCTTCATTCTGCTGATGCTGATACACTGAGGACCAGACCTTCATAAAGCTGACGCTGGGCCAGCAGAAGGAAGTGGAAGGCCTCAGCGCCGCGCCAAGGGCTGTCCAAGAATTTCCTGACGTTGCCTGACGTGTCCGAGTCAATGACATCACCCATGTCGATGTTGGTGGGGTCGTCGTACATGCCGATCAGAGCCGCGCTGCGACTGCCTCCAACTGCAATGCAATAAACTCTATTGAACACTACAAAAAAATATTATAACATTGTCCAAAAGTAGTCTCGTTCAATGAGGTTCCAGAAAACCAGATTATTGAGGGACGCATGCCGAAATTTGTGGCCTACGGTTGCGCCCCCATTATTTACAGTTTTACACTAGGTTTTGAAAATGCACACCCAGCAGAAATTTGGACAAGCATACTTTATTGTTGACATTTGCCTTTCACAATCAAACTTACAAAGTTATTGCGTACAATCTAACATTTGCCAAAATTTCGGGTAAAGTACTTCCAACCTAGGTAATGTAAAGCCTAATTTTCAAGCCGTTGCTAAAATATTTGCACAGGAACTTACCGTCTTTCATGGTCTTGGCCATCTTGGCGTTGTGCTCCATGACGAGTTGCGCGGCCAGGACGTAAATCTTCTTGATGCGCAACGGATGAAGCTTCTTTTCGCTCTCTTCCTCTGCGATCTGGAGACATAAAAATGTCTCTAGTTTATTGCTCTAGTTTATTATCAGAGAATAATAGATTCGAGATCTATTGTATCAAACCAATTTACTTTACTTTTTTTGTACCAATTGCACTTTTAAGTTAACAAGAAGTTAGAACGAACTGGTACAATCAGAATTATTGATGGTCTGCTTTTCGTAGCTATCATCATTGTCGATATTACCCACCAAATTTATCTGAAATGTTTGTTCGAATTAACGTATATGAAATAAATGTCACCTTGTAGAGAAGTTTGGCGGCATCTTTGAGCTTGTCAGCCCTTCTGAAGAGCTCGATGGCCTGCAGTTTGTTTCCCTTCTGCAGGAGGACCTCTGCATAGCGGCCGAGCAGTCCCCCGGTCTCGGTGACGTTGTGCTGTCGCGCCAACTCTACCGCCTTCTGCCACTGGTTCAGTGACACACACGTGTCGATTGCGTCCTTCACTTTGCCGCACTGACTCGTAAAAAATAAATATTTCGCTTAAAACTACAATAAAATTGATTTCTGTTCAAAACCATACATGAAAATGCTGGACTTTATTCTAGTATTGGTATAAGTGGGTGGCATCGAACAAAGCATACCTTCATGTAGGCAGTGACGGCCTGCTCGCTCATGCCCACGCTGCAGAACATATCAGCAACAACGGGCAGAAGACTCGATCCTTCAGGCAAGTTCTTAACGAGGTTCTCTAGGCCGTCAAAGTTCTCGAGTTGGTAATAGCAGCGCGCCAACATCTCGTGGTTGTGCGCCTGCTCGAAGTGCTTCACCGCTTCCTCCCTGCAGCAACAAAACTTACGCTAAAAACAGGAAATCAGATTGTCGGAATAATTAGAATTGACTAAAAAATAATTAGCTGACTAAACTGTCAGCTGTGAGCAATAAATATGTAGTTCAAAATAGCCAGCCAAAGAAGCCGGGCGCCGAATTAACTCAAAAATATAAGAGTGTGAGGAAAAAATGTCGATAAGAACTCAACCGGTTGTATATTCTTTTGCGCGCTACTACACGCACCACTGCTGGCGATCAGCGTAGTGATGCCCTATGTTGTTGAGGGCCTCCTCCATCATGGTGTCGTCCCCAGCAGGCCCCGACTTGAGGAGTTGCACCACCCTGAACCAGTCCCCTAACTTACGACGCAATGCTACCGCCAAATCCCTGTCAGGACAATGCATGGACAACATTAAAATCATATTAAATGGAGCTGTTACCTTGTGCCATAAGCATGTCAATAATTCAGACTAATTCGATGAACTTTAATAATAATGAAAGGTATTTATATTGTGACATCGTAGTCTTTATAATTGAGTTAAAGACTTATGGTATCAGAGGCACCTACCAGCCTGATAAAAGAAGACTTTGTAAAGTCGGAGCACATTGAAAGATTAAGATTGAGAACAATTTGTGAAAAATAAAATAGTGTCATGATCCCATTTATGATCTGGAGAATGAATTGCACAAAGCTCGAGAACTCCTATTTGGTAAAACATAAAAATTGGAAAGCTTCTCTGAAAACCAACAATATGGCAACTTATCACTTGTCTCAACATGTCACTATTGTCCAGTAGATTATGCACCAAAAATTCTTCAGTATTGCTTGGGCAATTTGAATGGCGGCTTCATAAAATACGGCACAATCAATACCGAAGAAAAGAAAAAAGAAAGAGAGAAAAGAACTAATTTCTTGTCAGAAAAAAAGGACCATAGTTAGTTCACGTTAAGCGATTGCTGCCCCGACGCCCACCGTCGTTCCATGTCGAGGTAGAGGCGCTCGGCTTCCTCGTAACCAGCAGGCCCCGACTTGAGGAGTTGCACCACCCTGAACCAGTCCCCTAACTTACGACGCAGCGCTACCGCCAAATCCCTGTCAGGACAATGCATTGTCAACATTCAAATCATATTAAATGGAGCTGGCACCTTATGTCATTAACGTGTCGATAGTTATAAGTAGTTTGACGAACCTTAATAATAAATGGTTTGCGTATAACTAGTGAAAGACATCGTATTCTTTAAAATTGAGTTGAAAACTTGTGGTGTCAGAGGCACCTATCAGCCTGACAAAAGAAGACTTTGTTAAGTCGGAGAAAATTAAAAAATAAGATTGAGAAAAAATCGTGGAATTAAAATAGTGTCATGATCCCAATAGAATCTTGAGAATGAATTGCACAAAGCCCAAAAACTCTTGTTTGGTAACAAAAAAAAAAAAAAGAAATTGGAAAACTTCTCTGAAAACCTACAATATGGCTACTTATCACTTGTCTCAACATGCCACTATTATCCAGTAGATTATGCACCATAAATTCTTCAGTATTGCTTTAAGCAATCTGAATGGCGGCTTCATAAAATACGGCACAATCAATACCGAAGAGAAGAAAAATGAAAGAGGGAAAATAACTCATTTTTGTCAAAAAAGGACCATATAGTTGGTCCTCGTGAATCGATTATGACTTGAAATGCCTAGCACCATATCGAACCCGGTGGAAGTCTAGTAGCCATTTCAAACTATCGTCAGTCTTGAAAAGATCGGGTCAAATGACACATTTTAGATCATCTGTGAACAAGGCACGAAAAGGAAAAGAATTGGCGACAGGCCACATCAGGCCTACTCTTCAGCGCCGACATCACAATGTTATGTTATGTTATGATTGCTGCCCCGACGCCCACCGTCGTTCCATGTCGAGGTAGAGGCGCTCGGCTTCCTCGTATTGCTTGAAGTGCGCGGCGACCTCCGCCCTGCGGATGTTCTCGCTGTGGATGGCGGCGACGCGTTTCACCATCTGGATCATCGGGTAGTCTTTGCAGCGCACAAATGCTGACTCAGCGTTGTCCAGGTCCTGCTTCTGCAGGGCTGCTTCTCCCAGCAGACGCCTGAGAAACAAATTTATCTCGGTAATTGACATCATGGTCATGAAAATTGAAGCAACACCTGACAAATAGTAAAGATTTATCAACGATATTAAAGAGCAAAGATTTATCAAAGATATTAAAGAGCAAAGATTTATCAACGATATTAAAGAGCTAAGATTTATCAAAGATATTAAAAAGGAAAGATTTATCAACGATATTAAAGAGCTAAGATTTATCAAAGATATTAAAGAGCAAAGATTTATCAACGATATTAAAAAGCACAGACTTATCAACGATATTAAAGAACAAAGATTTATCAACGATATTAAAGAGCAAAGATTTATCGAAGATATTAAAGAACAAAGATTTATCAACGATATTAAAGAGCAAAAATTCATCAAAGATATTAAAGAGCAAAGATTTATCAACGATATTAAAGAGCAAAGTTTAATCAGCGATATGTCTTTCCACTCAAGGTTCACGTGAACTCTAATCTCACCACAGCCTGGGGTGCGGATTTTCCTCAATAAATGATGCAGCGTCTTTGATGGAGACTTTCTCGAGCAGCTCTCGTGTGTCCCTGAGACTCTTCGCCTCCAGCGTCAGGATGTGGTCGGTGTTAAGGAACTCAGGATCCTGCATCACCTCGTCCAGCAGCACTGCCGTCACCTCCAGGTCCTTTATTTAAATAGTTATATTTGACTAATTTTATTTGATAGTTCACGTCAATAAACTTACGATATAGTAAGACTGCCGCGACCAAAAGTTCCACAAGTAAAAGTTTCACTGAGTCTCGCTGCTTAAATTCGGCTCCACTATTTTGATTTCGCTTATTTTAAAATAAATTAACCTAAGTGAACCCCAAAACAAGGTAAGACAGATAATGATAAGGTCCCAGAAATTTTGTTATTTAATCACAATATTCAATCAACCAACATAAAAATATTTCACGTATAGATGCGTATTAAGATATTATTTATAACAATAACCTAAATAAGACGGCCACATTCGTCTCTCTTGTGCGCGTTCCACTGTAATTTATTTCATTTTCATAGTATCAGACATCACGATAGCTGACATCTGAGTTGAAAAAATTCTATACCTTCGAGTTCAGATGTTCTTCTCACCTTGAAGGAACAGAGGTAGCCTGAGCTGGGCATGGGCTGTTCAGCGTCCATGTTCCTAAAGATGCACATCTTGGTCTTCTCCATGAGCGCGAACATCTCCGGGTTGTCGCTGGCCCAGCATATGTCCCACACGTCCTTGCGCTCGAACTTTAGGATTTGGCCCTGCCCCTTACAAATGCCAGGGATTTATGACCGTGATGATGTATTGGGATAGAATATTAATATCTTAATGAATGTGTTTTTAATGAAGTGACAAACGACAAGGCTTAGACGTGCTGTCTTCACATAAAACATTTATTTGGCATTATATATGAATATTTATAATTTTCAAAAAATTCCATAAGCCAACAATGTTCTTGATTCGAGGGACAAATTTCAGTAAACAACTAAATTATTGTCGTGCTGTTACTTCAAGCAAACCATAAAGCATGACAACTTGCCATAGCGACTAAATGAGTACAAAATTCGTTGTTTAATTAATTTATCTTTATTTTGACCTGCCGATCGATTCATTTTAAATTTCTGTTAGAGCAGACAGAATAATGCAATCCCAAGAAAATAGCTTTGATTTGAACGAATCAAAATCTATCAAATGGTATATGAAGGAGCTCCCACCTCGCTGCTAGGGCCGCTTTTGACCTCCAGGTCCATTAGTGTCATGAGACCAGTGATGTCGATGACGGCGAGCTTCCTGCCGGCACATGCAGCGTAAGCACCCCAAAATAAATCCATGCATATAACAACGAAGCTCTAATTTCAAGCTTTACTCCCCATTGAAAATCAATATTGAAATCGTCCAAGAAATATTAAAAGACTTCATTGAAAATTAAGTATAGGTTTAAATATTAGATCGAGAATTTCCTACGTAGCCCAACGATTTCTATTAAGTAACTCGGCGCTGACTACCATGCGAAATCTAGGATGAAATAAGTCTCATATTACACCAACTCAAGCGCTGCAATATTATTCCGGCGGTACATAAACTCGCTTCAGTTTAAATTTGAGCATCACACGAACACGGAGTGACGTGGTAGTCTGTTGATGCCACGCCTTGTATATCCAATATTGAATGTTGGCAGGGAAGTTCAGTACACGCAGTATACGTCGTAACATTGAAAAACATCCTAGCAGGCAAAGTAAAGTTGAATCAACGAACTTCGCGACGTTGACATTGAAATAATGTTGAATATTAGTCCAGAATGAAAAGTGAATCAACTCCATTTTTTAAACATCGTACATTTCGACGTTTTTTGCAACGTATAAATTTCGTTGAATTCTGACGTTAAAAGCGCATTTATAAAATTTTTTAATAGGTTAACATGTTCCATCATGAATGTCACAGTAGTCACGCGATTCCAACGTTGAAACAATGTCAAAATGTATGACTGTGAGAAAAATGACGTTGATTCACTTCTCATTCTGGACTCATATTCGACATTATTTCAACGTCGCGAAATTCGTTGTTTCAACGTTGATTCAACACAATTTTCTGCTGGAGTAATTCAATATTAATTCAAGATGAAATTTTCTGCTCGGCTAATAATAATATTGACATTCTCACGTAGAATCAGAGTTGAGGGCGAGTCTGTGAGGACGGCACTGAAGCGTGTGACGTGACGTGAGTGCCACCCTAGGCACGCTGTACACCTGCACCATGCCTGACTCCCGCCCCACCAGCAGCAGTCGCTTGCTCGCACACACGCAGCAGATAGGGTCACTCGTCGCCTGCATGTGCACTCTCTTATCATTGTCTGTACTATCAGAAATAGCTACGTATTTGTAACTCCGTCAGCCATCTATAATCAGTGTCTGTACTCTCAAAAATAGTTACATATTTGTAACTCCGTCAGCCATCTATAATCAGTGTCTGTACTATCAAATAGTGACGTATTTGAAACTCCGTCAGCCATCTATAATCAGTGTCTGTACTATCAAATAGTGACGTATTTGAAACTCCGTCAGCCATCTATAATCAGTGTCTGTACTATCAAATAGTGACGTATTTGAAACTCCGTCAGCCATCTATAATCAGTGTCTGTACTCTCAAAAATAGTTACGAGTTTTATAGTCCGTCAGCCAATCACTGAAAGATTTTGAAGCTTAACCCACCAATCACGGACGAGGAATTGGCCGCCACGTGTAATACTTAGGGCGCCACATGTATTTAAGCGAGTTCTGATATAACGGCCCTCATAATATTGAAAATCTGATTTCTTAATGCCATGCATGCACACAGCCACGCATATGAGTGATTAATCGTCCGCAAAGTTTTTCATTCAACTCACATGTTATTATAATTTTGATACTAAAATTTTTGGTTGCAGGAAAGACATAAACGAGCATTGCACCGATTGTTTGGTGCCTGAGCACTTCACATCTATTTTATTTTTTTGTCAGTTGATTCTCACATTCAATGGCTAGAAGGATAATGCCCGTCATATCGTTCTACCTGTAGACAGTTTGACTCATACTCGACTGATGTGAATGAAACTGATTTCTTAAATAATCGTAACGCACGTCTCCCCATCATTATCATCATTATCCACTAAATCTGAATCAATGAGATATTACCGAACAAATTACATGACAAAAATATTACATATAGCTAAATTGCATAAATATTCACCTCATATAGCATCTCGCCTTCCCTGAAGTTCTGTTCGGCACCTGAAGGTGAATCGTCAACGTGAAACATTTTTTCTGCGCGGTCGAGTTTGGCGGAACCTGCGTGAACGGAACATGACTGAGTTACGCACCAAAGTCATGGTTTCAACATCAGTATCTTGATGTATTATTCATATTCTTCAGTGAAGTATTCTTTATTCAGTAGGGAATATTTGAATGATATCAACGATTTTCTTCCCGGCTCTTCACGTAGTTGAACTAAACGAAAATGAAACCAAAACTGTACCAGACCGTAAAGATGGCTGAATTCGCCAATCGCAGGACTTACAGAGTTTCAACTTGGACCCCTTTAAAAGTTGTCCTCGAACAAAGTTGTCAATTCATTCCCACAATTTTTTGCGGAATTTTTCGAAATACATTCAAACATATAACTGCATTTTAATTATGACTTTACAGTGTACATCACATTTAATTTTTCCTGCCGACTCGAACTTGTGATCACTCTAGACTCTCACCAGCCATGGCGACGGAGGAGTGCGACTGCGGGGCTTTGAACTGCCACATGTAGAAGTTGTCCTTGGACGCCGCGAAGACGTAGTTAGCCGTCATGGCCACATGCAGGGGCTCGATGTCGATATACTTGCCTGAAATACTTCACTCGTCAGATAATCGACTTGTCATTCTTCCCGTAACAATGTTAGGAAGGAAATTTAATTAGCTACTTGCCCACTAAAAAATTAAAGACTATTTTACTTCTAATTTTTTTGAGTTCAACTTTATTTACATAGATCGAGTATCACCTGACTGTTTAATTAAAATATTGTGTTATATTCAAATATCCTTTTGGAAATTAAGTAGCGACACATACTATCTACGGGCGTTCCGATGGCATTGCAGATGATGAGCCCGAACTGTCCTGACCCGTCGTCTGTGCGCACGGACAGCACGCAGTGTTCACCGGCCGCTACCATCCCCATCAGGTATTTGATGTACTTCACGTAGTGCTGCAAGAAAATAAATTAATTACCTGTACAAACGTCCTAATTATGCCAATCGGACTACCCAACGACTGGGAATGAGTTCAAATTTGTGTGCTAAGTTTGGATTTCATTCGTAGCGAAATTGCTGAAATATTTATAAACTTTATATCTATTTTTGGTGCGGCCCAGCGTACCGCCACCGCATTGTTCGCAGTGTCCCTCGTTACAACACCTCATTGTTTGCAGTGCCCCTCGTTACAACACCTCATTGTTTGCTGTGTCCCTCGTTACAACACCTCATTGTTTGCAGTGTCCCTCGTTACAACACCTCATTGTTTGCAGTGCCCCTCGTTACAACACCTCATAGTTTACTGTGTCTCTCGTTACAACACCTCACGTTACAACACCTCATTGTTTGCAGTGCCCCGCGTTACAACACCTCATTATTCGCAGTGCCCCTCGTTACAACACCTCATTCTTTGCGGTGTCCCTCTTTACAACACCTCATTGTTTGCTGTGTCCCAGAAAGTGACGCAGGTCTCAGCACGCTCAGGGCGCGTGTAGGTGTAGACGACGGTACTGGCGAAGTAGCACCAGCGGTAGTCTGGTCTGATGTTGGCGAAGTAGATGAAGGCGTCGACGGCGAGGGCGATGCGCAGGGAGCTGCCCTCCCAGGAGCACCCCGTCAGCTCCTGCCCCGGCACCTTAAGTGTCCGCATGTGCTGGTCGCGGCATAAGGTCGAATTAGAAGAATAACATAGAAAATCCGATGTATAAAAATGATATAAAAGGTATATAATCGAGTGTATACTCGGAAAAGTTGGGAATGCTATTCAAAACAAATTAGATGCTATATAATTACAATCAAGGAAACATGATAAGTTTTTCCCGCATCCAAACCAGCGTCCGGGTGGTCATGGCTTAATAAAAAAAAATAATGCAGTGGATACAAGGAAGGATTTCTAAAAAGTGAAGACGTTAGTAAAACAATAAAAATTGTATATTCATTAACAATAATGTAACTCCGCACTGAATTACACTTACTTTTTAATTCCTGAATAGTCACATATTCTCCAATAGGTTCTCGATAATCTCAAACATAATATAGCATTCGTTCTTACCCAATCTCCAATCTCTCTTCTGGAAGTCGGCAACAGGCCATGGGCCTATTTCTTCAGCGCCGACACTTCTATTCTATTCTAAATATATGTGTAGCGACACAAACGGTCATTGTAGTACAGTAGTAGTGACGTTGAAAAATAGGAACTGCACCACATATAAGGCTAACCTCCCCTAAGGGCGTGTAGAACTGCACCACATATAAGGCTAACCTCCCCAAAGGGCGTGTAGAACTGCACCACATATAAGGCTAACCTCTCCAAAGGGCATGTAGAACTGCACCACATATAAGGCTAACCTCCCCTAAGGGCGTGTAGAACTGCACCACATATACGGCTAAACTCTCCAAAGGGCACGTAGAACTGCACCACATATAAGGCTAACCTCCCCAAAGGGCGTGTAGAACTGCACCACATACAATTTATTTGATGCAACTAATTTACTAAACTGCACGATAATAAATTTTATATTGGAGGTAAACGCCTGTTTAAAAATCTAATTGATTGATGATGATATATTGGATCGATTTAAGACTCAGAGGAAACCAACACAAAATACTTCAAATAATAAGCGAGAAAATGTCCTCATGAATTTTTCATTCGTCGGTTATCGCAACGGTCGATTATGTACTTCATTTTAGCCACGTAAAACGTAAAGACTGTCATTCGCAACTGTGCATGAAATGTCACATGCTATTCTTTCCAACGTGAAGAATTTAAATGAGAAAAAGAGCGGCCGTGATCTCACTGTCATCTCCTTCGTTCCTCATGAGCTGCATGCGGCCGTTGTCGTAGCAGATGGCGAGCACGGGGCAGTCGGGCTCGACGTGGCCGTGCTGGCCGTGGTACCACGATAGCCCCACCACCATCGCCCCCGACCCCACACTGGTACCCAGACACTGCACCTGCACACGACTCTGCCGCCCGTGCATCCTCTTTAGTTATAGTACTGAAAATTGTTTAGACTTTAGAGCAAGGAAAGTAAAAAGGGAATTGGTAAATGGTAATGACAATCACAATGTATCGGATGCAAAGCAACGTCATTAGATATTCAAGTTGAAGTTTAATCCATACAACTACGAACACAGACCACAAAGTTCCCAGCGTTGTCGTAGACGTGAATTTCTCCGTTGAGGTGCGAAAAGAGCAGCAAGTTCGAGTCAGGCGACCACTCTACACCCGTGAGCTGCTGGCCCTTCAGCTCCTTACCCCAAATCCTGTTGCCATCCACACTGCCCACGATCACAGCGCCTGCGCAACGAGAACGAAGAGCTCGTGACATGTGGATGATGTGGTCCATGAATACGTTCCAGAGAACCAAGATTGAAGCTTTAGCTGTGAGTTATGGGTTGTAAACCCTAGAAAGTTGTAAGAATTCTGCGATGTCTAGCATCGACAAGAGGCCAAATTTTACCTATTCAACGCTGACACCACAGGTACTGTTACACGTACTAGAAAATGTTCATGCTCTCCTCGATCTTATGGAAGTGCGTTAGCGCGTGTGACTAATAATAGTTTTGTATTTCAGAAACAGAGAAAGCGAAAACATAAATATGATGTTAACGACTAAAATTTTACATTGGCTATTTGGTGTAGTATCTTTGCTGAGCTTAATTACGAAAATTCAAAGATAGTATGATATTCACATACTAGCAAGAAAGAAGCTACTCTTTGTATAAGTTCGCTTTAATAATTCAATGATAGGCAATAAAAAATTTTCATATGATTTCGAGAACATCGCTCTATTCACTCTCATCAAAATTCAAGTTAGCTGGTACTATAAAGGTGCCGAATTAAGTTCATCGGCTCTCAGCGACTTGCAAGATGTTAAAGTCAAAACATGTTTCGGACAAGCAGGATAAGAACCAAGCACTAATCTATGTTTGAACGAATTACTGTATTAGTTGAACCATGGCACTGACCAATGGTTGAACTAATACTGTATTTGATTAATCATGGCACTCACCGTCCTCGTAAACGATGCAAATCTTTTGACCGTCGCTGTTCCACGCCATGCCGCGAACCACTGACCGGTTGCGATTGTTGATCATTTCTTCGTACCATGAGCCCTAACAGACACGAGTTCATAGCCTCAGAAAATCATAGTTGTTGTTAGGATTATTCTTAGACATCACAGTGAGATTGCAATTTTTTCACCGAATCTTCACTCTTCTAAGAGTACCAGACATCAGTAATGTTTATAAGTATAACACAATCCAGTCGCACGATGTTTTCAATAATTTTTCTTAAATATGGGAATCAGGGAAGAGAGTTGGCAACAAACCGTATAGGCGTATACCATACGCTTGGAACCGAGCAAAAATACATGGGTAACGTCTGCAACGAAGGAAATGTGATATCCATCGAGTAATAACGATTCTGCATACTCCCAGCGGGGATTAAATACTTTTCATTCCTATAAATAGTTTTACCTTATAGAGCATCCAAACGATAATAAGCCCAGAGCTGTCTGAGGAAGTAAGCTTCTGGTGAGCGCTGTTCCAGACCACTACTTGGATCTGTCCAGAGTGTCCCTCGAGAGCCTGATTCATGGAGAGGGTGGAGGGCGCTGCCAGGCCCAGTGCTTTGCTTCCTTCTTTACCACTGCCGCTTGCTGCTGGGAACATTTGTGTTAGAATACGCGATACACTTAAAGGGCAGCCATGAGACGCGATTTGTCTCACTAATAGGTTTGAAGTATGAGCAAAGATGTATTCAAGTGAAAGGTTTTACCCCTAAATCTTACCGAAAATTTTGATGGGAAAATTTTAGAAACGACAGACAAGATAGGGTAACATGGGGCAGCGAGCCCACTGCGGGTCACGGGCCCATAGCGGGTTTCTCGCTAAGTATGGCAGATATTGGTCCGTGTTCTCTACCGCCGGTCGACAGTTTCACTGGGATGAAGTGTACGGATTTACACATTGCCCCAGGGGTGGGGCAATGGGCCCATTTTGACACTTTTTACAAAATAGTGTTTCATTAAAAATTGAATAACTCTATAGGCGTCTAATTCACATCATACATTCCTCATTAGTTGCACCTTTAAACAAAACAAAGAACCACCACGTATCAATTAAAACTTCATCAAAAATCTAGTTTAAAAAAAGTGGGGGGCGCGCTGCCCCACGTTACCCTATATTTAAAAGCTCTCAAACAGGCAACATAATAGAAGCATAAAATAGCGGTTCAAATTTCTGTAGAGTGAATTATTCCTATTATTCTAGTCATTATCGGTTGAAATCCCCAACATTTAACATTAAAACTTGCCAGCTTCAAGCTTGAGAACTTTGAGCAGTCCGTCATCTCCGCCGCAGGCGATGTAGCCTTGTTCCTTGTTCCAGCCCACGCAGCGAAGACGTACGTTATTGGGAATGGCAATCTAAAATAAAATTAAAATTACCATTTGTTGTTGCCGTCAAATAATCGTGATGAGAATGGAGACCTGTTATAAATTCAGTATGGTTTAGCAAGGCCAAGACTTGTTTCAAACTAAGATTAAAAAATTAAAAAGGATTGAAAAAATTATAACAATTTTTATGCATTTCGATGTTTTCCAGCGGTTAAAATTGACTATTTATTGCGTAATCACACGGGCATTTTCACGCCACAACAAATGCAAGAAAAAACATTTACCTTTTTGCTCAAATAGATAAACATCTTTCAGAGATAAATTGAACCGAACTAAAAGCAACAAACTAATATTTATTAGATCGTTTGGGGATCTCCAAGTGCATTACAGGTTCTTTAGAGATTACTAAATTATATAAACCATAAGCTATTTTAAACCCAGACTATTTTAAATGGTCTTCAGTCATCACCAAATGACATCGAATCTTCAGGCATGAAGGGAACGAAGTTTGGACTACGATGAATCCGTTGCCATGACAATGACGAAATGTTGATAATGTGAATAATGTTTTAGCTGATTTGAAATAGTGAAGTAACATAAATTTAAAATATTTTGTGATTCTAATATGAATCTAACAGAAACAATTGATTGTTGTTTCGTCAATACCCAATAAATCATGTATCATATACAATATAATTGCAGGGCGCACTACATGCATATAGGCTGTTTGTTATATGAAAGAAATTAGTGTAGGTGATCATAAATACCAGATCATATTTATCCATTTATGGTATCGTAGAATGTTATCCCTTTGTATATCATGTATAAATTTCAACGTAATTATCAATGCAAATCAGCTTAAATTTCAATGTGGTGTCGACATTCCTTTCATGCGGAAATTACCTCCCGTCCGACAGCTCATCTACGTCAGTAGTCCGACGTCAGCTAACTCAGCTTAACACGTTAACCGCCAGCATGCAATATTGGAACTTCCCCCTAGCGCCAAGACTTCTAGGCACTAAAATGTCTCAGTTGGTCAGGAACAGCTGCAAGGGAAGGTGTGTATGTGTTATACTCTCTGTCTAGTTTCTTCTAGAACAGAGTAAACCATGAGACACATGTGGTACATAAGGATGTTCACTAAATCTTCATTTTTCTCCAGCGCCATGTGCGCCACCAGTGGTACAAGAGATTATGGTACACCGGAGGCTTATATTGCGACAATAGAAACGATACACATTGGATATCGTAATTATTTGGCCACTGGTGGTTATGGTTTAGAGCTCTCGAAAAATATTTTTTATATTGTACGTAGTTTGTAGTTATGATTTTCATTTGTTAGTTTGTTATTTATAATAATACAAAGACTTATTACATACGTTTATTTCATTATTTCATTCCCTACTCCTAATTGCTCAGCATTACGACTGTCTCTTATACACATCTAGATGTGTATAAGAGACAGAGCTGGTACTATAAAGGTGCCGAATTAAGTTCATCGGCTCTCAGCGACTTGCAAGATGTTAAAGTCAAAACATGTTTCGGACAAGCAGGATAAGAACCAAGCACTAATCTATGTTTGAACGAATTACTGTATTAGTTGAACCATGGCACTGACCAATGGTTGAACTAATACTGTATTTGATTAATCATGGCACTCACCGTCCTCGTAAACGATGCAAATCTTTTGACCGTCGCTGTTCCACGCCATGCCGCGAACCACTGACCGGTTGCGATTGTTGATCATTTCTTCGTACCATGAGCCCTAACAGANAGAGTTTTTTAGACTCTCCCTCAAGTTCAGTTTTGAGTCCTATAAGTAGACCAGTAAAGTATCCTAGATACCAGCATCATCATACATAAGAAATTGGTTTAAATCATTCCAGACTGTAGAGCATGGCACAACATAGGTCGAGGACGCCAATTTCATGCACCAAAGACGCCAAGGTTGATGCCACTGGACACCACTGGACATAGTGGCAAACCAGAGCTTTTTTAGAATCTGTTCATTTTTAATTTCCTCATTTGCTCAAGATTTTAACCAATTTCTTAAGTATGATATTGATACCTAATGCTGGTTGGTATCCATGATACTTTACAGTTTACTGGCCTACTAATCATCATCATAACTAATGGGACTCAAAAATGAACTTGAGGGAGAGTCTAAAAAACTCTCTGCTTTGTCACTATGCCACTGGACGCCGGTCGCCAATTATGCATCTCCATAAATCGCGATTTACGATCGATATGGCCGATGCGCCGTATTGATCTACACGCTACGATCGTAACTATGTGTTGTAGCGCGTAGTTCCGAAATGGGGCTCCATTTCTCTTGCCAGTAACAGTGGCCCTGATGGATGACTCTCAACTCCCCTATAATGGCAACTTTTCATATTCAGAACTAACAGACTGCATTAAACATTTGAATAATTCGGCCCCAGGACATGACTATATACACAATGCAATGCTAAAACACCTCCCACTTCAGTATGAAAAGTGGCTACTAACTTATTTACAAGGTTGCATGCACCTCACAACACGTGTTACCCCAAATAACTAATTTTACCCTAAAAACAGTCTGATTGTACAGCAAGTGTCAACTGTATATGTGATTAATGCAGTCTGACCGCTCTAATGTGTGTACTACATAATTGTAAGCTTGATGTTTACATTTTTTTGGCGGGAACTCATCGTAGGCCTAACTGATTTCCGGGCAAGCTTCACTGCATCCTGCCTGATCCATCCAACATATCGGAAACCTTACTTTTTTTTAATAGTTGGCCAAAGACTGACAAATATATTAAATGCAAGAATTTCAATCTAAATGTGTCGGCAAGATCTTCTGAAGGCGTAAATTTTGCTACTGAAGCGTCGCCAAAGATCTTGCAATATTTATCCACTCTCTGCACAGTGGCCTTTAGGCATGATCTGGGAGCGGTGGTAAACTACGTGGACTATGAATCGGCAAATTGCTACCTTGCTCAGTTGAGTGTGCAGTAGCTAGGCTGCGACTGGGACATCATGCTGGGGTGAAGGCCCACCTGGCCCGTTTCAACATGGCTAATTCTAGCATCTGCCCTGAGTGCAACACAGAAGACACAATCAGACATTTCATCTTGAGCTGTGTGCTTTACACTGACCAGAGGAGGGAGTTTCGCTCAAATTTGGAAGCTTTATCATTATCTTGGACCCTCATCTGGGCTCTTGGTGGGGGAGATATCCCACAACCGGCACAACGAAGAAGAACTGCTGTAATACGTCATCTTGGACATTACCTGCTGATTTGCAGCATGGTGAACACCCTTTGAAAATACTCAGTGCCTAATTCTCTTGTCTCTTCTACACAATAATCACCGGTTGGTGAGTGACAGAAACCCAAATTGAAAGAAAAGTGGCAAGATAATACAAGTTTTTCAACACAAAGTTTTGCTCAGGCTGGGAGGTGTGATATAGGCTATTCATACCCGAAGTCTTAAAATCAATTATAAAAAAAATTAATGCTGAGCGTATACTTACTCCATTTAAGATCAAATTTTGAAAATTTTTTAGAGGTCATTACTGGTTATTCCACGTTATTGGAATTGCTTCCAGATTTGAGAGAGGAGCCGTTCTAAAATATTATGATTATGGTATCATGGTTTGTCAATGATTCAGTCTTATTGAGACTCTGAGCAGTAAGTGAAGTAACGTTGTGTTGTTGTTGTAATTGCCCATCCTGGTTAGTGGCCCAGTGTGGAATTCTGTATAGGTAATATATTCTCATGTCAATATAAGAAAACGTATCAAAATACCAACCNACCAAATAGTGATAAACTGTTTGTGTAGAAAGAATATTATGGTTTGAGACTTTTAAATAAGTCTGTGAATATATTAGGAATCCTTTAAGTATACTTGTATTTGCTGATTAATGATTTTAAGTGGTAAATAAATTAATAGATGATTAAATTTACGTGTAAAATTAATCATTTGCAAATTAATACGAACTTACTTACTACGGTTACTCTCTTTTCAGTGAGCTCCAAGTTAAGAATATCAGTTCACTTACTGTGAAGCATATAAAATTAAATACCGTACTATTGTTTGACAGTGATCAAATTTGTTACTCATTTAAGTAAATTATTTTTCTGTAAATCTGAAAGCCAATTGGAAGTAGTTATCTATAATGGCTCAGTGGTCTTTACAAAGAGAGTTCATGGAGATGCCTCCTGTGACTCGGGTGTACACATCTGCCTGTGTAATCACAACTCTTTTAGTGGTGAGTATATAATACCCCTCATACCATCTATTATACTACTTTCTGTAGCATTTGAACAGAAAATACTATTAGTTTTGTTCCCCTTGAGTTTATTGTTGATGCTGATTACTTGATTCAGACTCACAGCACAGTTGTTTGATCACTGAGGTACTAAGCAAGTTGCTGTTGCTGCTCTTATTATAATCTTTTCATTTAATTTTTAAATTAAGTTAGTTCATGAGTCTTTTATGAACTTGGACATATACATAAAGAGTGTTAGTTATGCCTTACACTCTAGCATATTGTAAATTAGAAGTGTTCCAAATTATGACCTTATTCTCTCAATTGTATCAATAGCTTTTATATTTTCTTGTTTTTTTACAGCAAATGGATATTGTAACACCATTCAACTTATACTTCAACCCTACACTAATCATTAAGCATTACCAGGTGAGCATATATTTTACATCATTAAAATTGCATGTTTGGAGCATTTTGTTGTTTAAAATAGTCTCAGCCAAATGATGCCCATAAAAAGTTTGGTACAAAAGAATATTAAATATTATCTACTACTCTTATTATCTCAGCCTCTACGTTAATATTGAGTTAAAATATGTTAAATTGGGAATTTTGAAAAACCAATTGTTGATTTATTCCTCTGATTTAATCAATTACAGTGTTCTCTTGCACACAAAATATTCCTCATAATTTGGAAGCATGTGCAACACTTGTTTCTAGTTGTGCTCAGCATACAGTGAAATTATTTCCTTCTTTAACATTTTTCAATGCCATTAAAGAGGATAATGCTCAACTCTATTATTTCCAGGTCTGGCGCTTGGTGACAACTTTCCTATTCTTAGGTCCCATAGGCTTCAATTTTGTGCTAAACATGATCTTCACTTACCGATACTGTAGAATGTTAGAGGAAGGATCTTTCAGAGGACGCACTGCTGATTTTGTCCTCATGATGGTAAGTATTTGGATGCCTAATTTTTTTTTACAAACCTATTGACGAAAAGAACATGAGTTTGCATTAACTTTTATTATTGTCAGATTGAACTTTGTCTTTGAAATTAAGAAAATTTAGTAGTACTGTATATCATATTGATGGTCAGTCACTGGAATTCCACTTGCAATTTTTCATGATTTACCATTAGAATATTAATGAAAACCTCTACAAAATTAGTCAGATTTGAATTAATTTCTTTGATTTCAAAACTCAAATTTATTTACCTACTTTAGTTTATTGAAAAATGTTACTGTGAAGTCAGGAATTCTTGTAATCAATTTCCTAAACAAAAAATAATGTCTGCTGTATGTTTATCAGCTGTTTGGAGGTGCATGTATGCTGGTGTTCACAATGTTCTTCTCATTGCTGTTCCTTGGTCAAGCCTTCACAATCATGATTGTGTACGTCTGGGCGCGACGCAATCCCTTCATTCGCATGAACTTCTTTGGTTTCACTTTCAATGTGAGTATCATTCTTATTGTTACTATTGTCAAGCATTTGTATTTAGTATTATTATTTGATGTTGCATTCATACAATTTAAAATCTTTTGCTGCAATAAGTTAGTAAAGATTGCAATAATAATTGATCAATATGATTATTTTCTTGATTCTTCTTGTATTCCAATCATACAATTTACCGTTTATTAATAGCTACCACATTTTCTAGTAAATGTTGAATTAAAATTTGTGTGGTTGATGTTTTGACGAACAGTTACTGCTTACTTGCTAATAGAATAAATGAAAGTAATATATAGTTTTCCTGTAGGCTCCCTACTTGCCATGGGTGCTACTAGGCTTCTCCTACCTGCTTGGCAACTCTGTAATGGTGGACTTACTGGGGATTGCGGTGGGGCATCTCTACTTCTTCCTCGAGGACGTCTTCCCTCAACGCTCGGGTGGCGTTAGAATACTCAAGACACCCGAGTTTCTGTGAGTTCCTGACAATATATGTAGTCTTAGAGCCATTGAGTTTTGGCATTGAACCCGTGGGTCAGCAAGGGTGCATTTCTATAAATGATGGTTCATAAAGTCAAGATTGGTCAAGCCTGGTTACATGATAAGTTCCAAAATATCATTGAAAATAGAAGAAAAATGTAGTTTGAGTTTTATATCCAATATGATAGGTATGTAAACTTGTTATATTTTCTCTTCTAAATTTGACCCTGTCTGAGTGTAAGTGTCGTCCACCAACTTTTGGCAAGATAATGATTTTTGCTCATATTAAAGTTGATTTTAAACCAATACACAAACTTAAAAATTTAATAATATTCCATGATGAAAATTTTACTGTTTATGATTTGTTTAAAAATATTGTTTTTTTAAACATTTCATAAGAGAAGCATGAGTTTGTAATGTGTTCCATAGAAGAGCTTGAACTGGGAACAAGTTGTGCGTGTATAGGTTTGTGTTCAACCGCAGTAATGGTTGTTATTTTTGGATATTATTTGTGTTAAGTACATGAAACTAGGGGACGTTTCAGCGGATATTCCTCAAACATTTGTATAGGTTAACCAGTTATTGCACGGTAGAGAATAATGCAGTATTTGTTTCTAGACGCGCGCTCCTGGAGCCCCGTACAATTGATGGCAGTGCCGCGGACAGCGCCGCTGCGCCTGAGGGTGACCTGGGGCCAAACGCCGGACCTCCCCAACCTGGAGGCTTCCAGTGGGGGGCTCAGTAGTGCTAACTGCCCTGCTAATATCAATGAGCTGTTAGTGTCAAGCAGCTCCATGTAGTAACTGTTAATTGGCTTTTGTAAGCCGTCGTGTGAAAGACTATGTTAAGTAGACTGTCAATATCATGCAGCTCAATGGAGTAAAAATCATTGATTGCTAGAAGCCATAGTGTAAAAAAAGCCTATGTAAATTGTAAACTAGACTAATATATATCAGTTCAATGTTTTATTCGCGGCAAACACCTAAAATTTCATGTGTCAGTGATGCTAGATGCTACCTATATATCGTAGCCTGCAACAGTGTGCTAACTGGGCCGGTATGAAGAAGCCATGATTACTGCTGCCCTACTCGTTTACCCTATTTACATTATATATTTAAACCCCTATTTACAGAGTTTATGTGCTAAATGAACCGAGACTCAGATTGGAGTTCTCTTATGTTCCATGATTAAGGCGTTCAGTACACCTGTCAAGGGATAAATTCATATTCTCACATCAGCTGGTATAAATGCATTGTTTTTACTTAACTGCAAATCTACTGCAAGTATTAATATATATTTTGGTCGTTTCTGGACCCTTACGATTCAATTGAAAATGAATACAAAATAGTGAACCAAGTAAGTCATTCAGTATGAGAGACAATCGAATTTGGCAAGTATTATGATTTATTAGTCTCGTTAATTGGGTGCATCCCTCTCTATAATGCAATTTTTATTTAGTTATCTTACTTTGCTTCGAGATAATATTTGAAATCTTCTGACTGATTTTTATGTTTATTTTGTGGAGAGTCCGTATGACAATGTATTTCATCGCTTTTTATCGGATATAGAATAGGGTATTACAAATTACTAAGAACTTAATTGGGTCCGAGTTTCAAGCTTTCAAATTCTCCTACTCTTGTGCAATCATGAATCTACTTCATGATTGGCAAAATAAGAGTGAAACAAATATTGTTCATCTTATACGGATCTTGCATAAATTTGGTTTCGGTAGTATTTTATTTTCTTGTGAATATTTTTTTTCCTGCTCACAGCGACAGGGATTATGTTATAAATTATTTATGTGTGGTATTAACGTATCAGCGCGTCTAATGTCATAGACATTTCCGCTAATAACCTTGTTTCATTTTTATTCGACGTCGTGTTTCGTCTTTGAGATTTTATACCGATTGCACTTCATGAATTTGCACCAGTTGATTAATGGCATAGTGACGGCTGATTTTTCCTCATTGTATTGGTCGAACTTTGAGTGCACATTTCCTGATTAGTGGATACGAACTTGTATCAAGGAGGCTTCTATTTACGATACAACATAAAATCATATTTAAATTGATTCGGCTCGAGTATAATTAAAACTTTACAAGTCGATTCACTCGAACGACTGTGAAGTCTTGGGTTTAAGCACGGTTGTGTTGAAAAAAGAAATATATTTTGAGCTCAGAACTTTGGATTGAAAATTAAATAAATTTATGCGCTTGAAATACTGGCATCACGAGATCTTTAAGTCCTGCCAGTTTAATTTATTTATTCCACCAGAGCGCATGGAGCGGCTCCATCCGTAACGAGTGACTAGGTCGTCAACAGGAAATAAAGATTATTTAATGGAAGACGTTTCAACTCCATTGCAGCGCATGTTCATTGTGTTGTTTCTTTATAGTTTATTTCATATCCTGCACGCGCCCGTAGGTGTCTCCAGAACTGTGTCTCCAGAACGACTTTGTTTTTTTCTTAGTGTGCCTTCAAAATCATTTATATTATCAGCCCACAACTTATTGCAAGGAACTATGTTACATAACAGTTTTTCATAAAATGTCGGTCATCGTTCGATATCATAAAATATTTTGCTAATGTATTTATGTTATTTTCCTGAATGCTTCATTATACCGGCAACGGTGTTAAAGTGTTTGGCTTCGACCCGTGACAGCGCGAGTGAACATTTTTTGCTTTAGTTTTAGCTTTACTGTTCCCGGACAGAAATTTCGATTTATCTTTTCGCATTGAATATGATAATACTTTCGCTACTTGATATTTAAAAAAAGCCACTAGTAAAGTACACGAGGGACCAGAATGCCTCCACCCTACCGTATGTCACCACCTCAACCTGAAGGTCCATAGTAGTAGTGACTACGGAACTAGGTGCAGTGAGAGCGGTATTAAGAAATTATTTAAAAAATTTAGGGCTCTAGGTATTTCGAATTTCTTTTTTCGCATAATATTTTATAACAATATTAGCATATTGTAGGATAATTTTTTATTTCAGTAAATTGAAGTTCATATTAAAGCATTGCTGTTACAACGCTTTTCTATATTTTCACTACGAGAGCTGTGTTGAAAAGTAACGATTTAGTGGCTATATTCAGATTTAATTCCGATTTCAAAGGTGAAGTTTTAGTCATGGATATGACCTGAATGCGTGAAAACAGCAGCGATGAGTTGAGTCTAACGGGCCAGGGGCCATACCTTCAAAACTCGCTAAGTAAGGTATGCACGCTCTATTTTCTTGACTATAATTGATGAATTTTGCTTGAAAGGCCGTCAATGATTGGCTGGTGAACTTACTATCTCTTAACTTTTTTTCGAAAGTATAGGCCCAGGATACGTGAAAACAGCAGCAATGAATTGAGTCTAACGGTCCAGCACTGTACTGGGAGCACTTGACGGCAACAGAAAGACTATACAACTGTGGGGCATTCAACATTCTCGACGTACAGCATTTTACTTTCCAGAACAATTAACATGTGAACAAAACCTCCATTCACACTAGTAAAGTACACGAGGGACCAGAATGCCTCCACCCTTCCGTAAGTATGTCACCACCTCAACCTGATGGTCCATAGTAGTAGTGACTACGGCACTTGGTGCAGTGAGGGAGGTATTAAGAAATTCTATTAGAAATATAGGGCTCTAGGTATTTAGATTTTTTTGGCATAATATTGTATAACAATATTCGCATATTGTAGGATAATTTGTTATTTCATTAAATTGAAGTTCATATTAAAGCGTTTCTGCTACAACGCTTTTCTATATCTTCACTACAAGAGCTGTGTTAAAAAGTAAGGATTTAGTGGCTAAATTCAGATTTAATTCCGATTTCAAAGGCGAAGTTTTAGTCTTTGATATGACCTGGGGCCATACTTTCAAAACTCGCCAAATGAACGTAAGTACGTACTTACGCTCTATTTTCTTGTCTATGATTGGTGGATTTTGCTTAAAAGGCCGTCAATGATTGGCTGATGAACTTACGATCTCTTAACTTTTTTTTAAAGTATAGGCCCAGGATACGTGAAAACAGCAGCAATAAGTTGAGTCTACCGGGCCAGCACTGTACTGGCCCGGGAGCACTGGGGTACTGGCTCCCAGCACTGTACTGGGAGCGCTTGACAGAAACAGAAAGGCAACAGGCAAATACAACTGTGGGGTATTCAACATTCTCGACGTACAGCATTTTACTTTCCAGAACAATTAACATTTGAACAAAACCTCCATTCTATATTTTATTCTAATAATAATCTGAATTGCAATATTTTTTTAGTCACAGACACCAATCGTTCGGTGATCGAAATAACATCCGTCAACGTGAGTCAACGGGACACAAGATACCTCCATAAAAACTACAACAACAAAAGTAGAAATTATTATCAACATAATTCACATAGATTCACACTAAAAACACAATTGATAACACTTATCCTAATCCCATATAAGATTCGAATCCAAGTTCAACTTATTCTACAATGTCTAGCGATATCAAACAATAATGAACTGTAAGAACGTTTACATGAAAATCATACCATTACACTAATGACATCAACTCTCAATTGTCTACCTAGCCCTGAATTTTCGATGAAGCTGGGGTCAGACACACGAAACTTGTTGCTACATCAGCAACAAGAAGCCAGTCAAGGAGCGGTTCTAGGACCAATTCCAAGTTTATCAAGAATCAGTTCTTAGACCAATTCCAAGCCAATCAAGAATCGGTACTTGGGCCAATTCCAAGCCAATTAAGATTATCGGTTCTTCGACCGATTCCAGGCCAATCAGAAATCGGCTCTTGGGCCAATTCCAAGCCAACCAAGAATCGGTTCCTAGGCCATCCCCAACTATAGCGGACGTGTAGCCTGAGCTTACGCACAACTCTTAACATGCATTATAATTTATAATATTAATATGCGACAACCGGAGAATTTTCTATAATTATTGAACGTCTGATGTTAGTACCTAGAGCCTACGATTGCCGTAGGTGTTTTCGTAAAATGACTCATGACGGACGATTTTCGGGGTTATATGGCTACGATTACTTGGCACAGCAATCGTGGCATACACGATCGTCATGGATCGGAATGGATGTTGATGTACAACGACCGTGGCATTCACGACCACCATAAATCAGAATGGATTTTGCGATCACAATAATCAATTAATTCACTATCACCATTGATCGAAATGAGTGAGGATTTCACCCCAGTGTAGTTATTGCCCGAGCCGATTTAGGTGTTGTCTGCAGCAGGTAGATGTAGAGTGAGCCGGAGCAATAAAAGTGTTCAGCCGATACGTGTCGTTTGAGCCGGAACAGATATTGTCTGAGCCGAAAACTTGTGAAAGTTGAGCCAGAATCGAGTTTCCGAACAAAGTTGCTGATTCGTCTATCCTTTTCACTTTCTTCGACAAATTTGACAAAATGCTGTCAGTGACAAGATATGAACTATTAATGTTTAATTAATATGTACCCGAATACGACAAATAACTGTTGTTGTTACTTCTTTGTGTAAGTCCTCCATTCGCCATGTATGGAACGAATAATAATGGATATCTCTTATTCATTAATTAAAGTCGCCTGATCCCACGTCATAGAAGACGTGGCGACGTTAAGTCTGCATGTACTGTAATGCTGTTAAATTTCTATTATCAATATTCACTTATCTCACAATATGGAAGACTTCAATTTTCAACGTAGACTAACGCTAAGTTCTGCAGTACTGTAGTTTTTAACTTAGACTTATCTTAAAATGCGGAAGACTTACGTTTTTAACGCAGACTAATGTTACCTTCTGAAATCCTGCAGTTTTAACTTAATTAAGCTAATCTTACAACGTGGAAGACGTCAGTTTCTAAATTAAACTAATTTCACAATGTGGAAGACATCATTTTCTATATTAAACTAATTTCACAATGTGGAAGACTTCAGTTTTTAACTTATATTATTCTTATAGTATGGAAGACATTGTTTCTTTCAATACACTTGCTTCAGTGTATTTTTATTTTCTAGACGTTATCTGACCACTCGTAATACATATACAGGAGGAATATCTACATCGCTGCTACACAAATATCGAACACGTCCAGATTTACACGAGCTCTATTAATACACTTCACAGACGACAAAATCATGAGAGACTTTAAATTCTTCGAGCTTCGCCAGCGCGGGAAATCTCATTTGTGTAAAAATTTTCTGCATATTTCAAGATCGCAACGATCAATTGTGATGGAATTGACAATAACGAACAATTGTTTGTTGCAATTCAAATTCGTAACATTTGCGACGTAAAAAACATATTGAGTTTGATATAATTTCTTATGTTTGAAAGCCTAACAGCTCAAGAAATTTTGAGATTCTACGTACGAAATTTTGTTGACGTGAACCCAGCGCATGAAAAATGTTACTGGAGTTGAGATTAGTAAGAAAATGAATAGCAATTTCTAATAATAAAATAGACATTCTCGAAACAAAGCAAAATGTCTACCGGCTTATATAAAAGTATCACAATTAATTCCACGGAACAGACGCTTAACAACAAAAGTGGAATCGTATTAATCCCGATTAATTTTTGTATAAATCTCTGGATGTATTAAAAACAACAAATTCGTTTTAAAAATCATACGAAAGCCTATAAATAGGGTAATTACCTACTAGCGCATTTGTTGCGGAATTGCGAGAAAACGTAATGCTAGAACAACAGTGAAACTTTTGAACATGCACGTTCCATTTCCTTTTACCAAGCCAGAACATCACTGTTAACAACATCTACAACTCACAGAATCTTTTATGATAAAAATTAGTTTATACGAGAACCAGATGAAATTGATGCAGAGGTGCGTGAGTACTGTTCCTGAATGACATTTTAATAACTTGAATGGCTCATGTCGATTAGAAATTTGGTGGGAATTTTCTAGTTTTCTCATGCGGTAATAACGCAATTGATATTCCGAAATGCAGTCATTTTATGCTTTACAAAATTGTTGCTCCGAATTTTCAATAGTGTTTTTATTTTATACATGATGCGGGACTGCTAAGAATTATTAAAAAGATCATCACATCGACTGGAAGACGTGGCATTAATGCAAACTTTCTATATATCATAAATACAATGACACCACACCTTTCAACATCTTGCAACACTTTGAGAGTGAATTTCATCAGGCTTTCATTATATAATACATCCTTTCCAATTGCTGACAATGGCCGGTCAGTATCATATGCTAACAAATTATTTAAAGGAATTTTAGTGTTGTAGGGATCTAGCTTTCAATATTTGAAATACTTAGCTGTAAGTTTATATTTCATCTGGCTCACTATACTTTGAATATAAAATTTTAATACTTCATGTTAATTACTTCTATGTTGAATCTAAATCCCATAGATTTCCATGCTTTATGAAGACATTCCTCCCGCCAACTCTCTGCAAGTTTCTCAAGTTTACATGGAAGACTTGGTTGCACTGAGCATTGAACTTGTACCTCTCACTGACCATAAGCTGATTTGAAGCCAGCCTCTCCTCAAATTTAGTCCGCGTGTAGTTCGTGAATTGCACACCAAATTTTAAACCTGCAAGTATAATTAAAATTAAGCTCTAATAAATTTAGGCTCGTGCAAATTCCCGAAAATCGAAAATAACAAGATTTGAATTATTGTTGAGTAGGAATTTTGACATCACTTAAATAAAGACACGACTACACTGCATTACAATCAAATGACTGAGTCACGCTCAGGACTTCGAATATGATAATATATCAGTTTTCGAGTACAAGTTCAATGCCCAAAAATTCTTAATACTACACATTATAATAAATGGAAGACTTTGTTTCATAAATCACGCACATGACATCAACTCTATAACACCGGTGCACCTTCAAACAATCAGACCACATCGAGTATCGAAAAAAATGACATAATATTCAACTTGGTAAATATTCAACAAGAGCGCAGAGTTTTTACAGCGCATTTACAGAATTTCTTAAAATGGAAGTCCGATCTGGAAGGCCTCTACGAGGGCATAGAAGGAAGTTGATATTCCTATGATTCCGAAGAGGAAGCCTAGGAAGATGACGAAATAATCGTAGGCCACATCATGCCATTCGAGCTGCCCGGCCTTAAGTTTCAGGTGAAAATAGCAAGGCCATATGAATGACAACATGGTGCCTGTACATGATCCAATGAGGCCCATCAAGATGGCGAAATGAGGAATGAATATAGCCATCAAAATTGTGCCGACAACTATCATGGTCCTTAAAGCCAAGGCCCAAACTTTCAACTCGCCATCCAAGTCCCAAACACTTGGGCCCACCGTGGTGGGTTTCCCTCGGAAGTAATTCCTCTCAATAATCTCAACGGCAGCGTAGTATGGCAGAGGGTAAGACAAGAGGGCTTTGGCCACCAGGATAACGTTTACGATGCCCTTGAAGCTCGGGTTCTCAAGGTTGTTAGTGATAACCTCCTCGGTGTCATCGGCCCAAGTCAAGTATCCTAGGTATCCGAAGAGTGACTTGAATGCAGCAGCGGCGATGTGGCTCCAGTTCAGCATATTCGTAAACTTAGATCTATCGATCATATTGTGTTCAAGTGTCGGCAGAAAGATGTGAGACGTATAACTGAACACAATAACTCCAAGTGCTATTGGAAACTGAACGAAATCTATACGAAACCTGACTTTAGACCAAGCCCAGTTAGGGGCGCAAGCAAGACAATATCCGAATATGATGACGTTGATGATGATATGGGTGACCATGCACCAGAAGGACAAGGTGGACACATGATGCAGGTTCCTGAGGTATCCGCAGGGTAGGAGGAACATTCCGCAAATGACCATCCAGCTGCGGGCGTCGATGGGGCCGTTGGGGAAGGACCCGATCATGAGATCGCCGCACAGCACCACGTACAGGATGCACGTCATGAGCAGCTCGATTAGCTGTAGAAATCAATAAGTTAGACCGCATCAGCAATCGTACATTAATTCAAATCTGTGTTTTTCATAGTAGACTTAATCAGTATGAATGTCGTCAATCTAATAAAAAAATCTTCTAAAAATCAAGATTTTGTTTCGATACTCACTTCATTATTTCAAATTACTCATTGATATTGTACTATATCTCTACTCACTTGAGCAGTCTGCACGATTTCACCGCCGAACTGTTTGCCGAAGACGGCTCTGGCGACAGCCTTGTAGCTGTTGCGCACGCGCTGCAAGTGGCCGTTCTGGTCGACCTCGTAGAGGCAGTCCACGAGGATCTTACCGGTGTAGCAGCAGATGTAGGCGATGCCGATCATGGCTACGATCGCCCAGTAGCCTCCATGCAGCACGGCATATGGCAGCGATACGATGAACATGCCCTGGAGTAGCAAGTAATATTGATGCAAATAGCTCTATTTGAAATGGCTTTGTATTAAATTTCATGTGTGTTAATGGAGATCATATTTTGCATCAGGTTGGTTGAGATGACGACAAGAATGTGCAACATGGCTGGGTAGTTCTACCACTGTAGATCGAGGAAATCTCCAGTGCGATCAAGTTTGGATAGAAATAAAAGCGTGCTGTGTCACATTGCTCAGGTGATTGTGAACAACAGATCAAAATAATTTGTAATGAACAAGTGTCCAGCATCAAGTTAAGTTGGCTGGTCTGCCAAAATTTGTCGAACGATAGATTCTTTGACTGCTCTATGACACAAGAATACAATTGTTTCCTGAACATCAATTCTAGAAAAATGGAAACAATATGGTCGAAAAACTAATGAGTGTAATAAATAAAAGAAATTAATTGAATTTAACTGAATTATGAGAATTATGAGTGAATATATTCATCAGATATGCAGATCATACCTGGATAGCGTTGGTGACGTTCCAGCCAGCCTGCCACTCCGTGATCATGTCGTGGCCGCCCTCCACCCCTGCCGTGGAGGCACTCCACGTGCTCTCCTCTCTCTTGATAGGAGGGGCAGCCATGCCCCCTCCTCCCCCTGGCATCGTACCCGAACCATCCCCCATCTGACTCCCCATACCCATCTGACCACCATCACCTCCTTCGGTAGCTGCCACGTAAGTACCATCAGCGTTAACGTACCCGCCCTGTACCCCTGAGGCGTACGGGTCATAGTTGTTTACAGCCTGCATCTCTACGTCCCCTGGAGCCCCGATGTGGGCACCGGCATCATGTCCAGGCCCTGCATCCCCCATTGGTCCCCCCGAGGACAGGGTTCCACCATCACGACCTCGAGCGTGTTTAGCGAACTGCAATTTTTCGCTAGGACCCTTCGGTAAATTTTTCGGAATCCTCGATTTTATTTCGGAAAGGATTCCTTTCGCGGCGCCCATTGCCGTTATTGGGGGCGTGCGGATGTCAGCCATGATGGATCCGAGGAAAAAATGTAGGCTCTGTTGTATTAAAATTATTCAGAGAAAATTTTTCGATGATTTATTATTTCGTTAATGAGGAATTCCTATTATGCTGCTGCTGATCTAATAGTCATTTTTTTCAGCGTTTATTTTGTGTGAAAAATCTTTACAGTATGCTTGATCTTTTATTTATTGCTAATAACGCTGAAGCTTTATTTCCGACATCTAAAAATAAAAAAATATTGGATTGGTCCTGTTTAAAGCGCTGCCGGCCTTTTATGCGACTACTGGCGACAACACGGAAGCACAATGACATGAATTATAATCGTCAATATACCTAAATATCAGTTTTATTCAATTTCCCATTATAGTTTAATGTCAGTGGTCCATTTCCTGCAATGACAGATATAAACATCTGATGTCAGTTATTTGTGTGTACAACTACTGGTATTGAAATACTAGGCGCAAACTCCGTAGACTTTACTCTGATACCAACATAAATTCACTACCGAAGAAGGTCATGGAGGTCAGAGGGTAGCTTTTGAAGCAATCCTTCGAGCTTTTGGTTATATTATTATGTTGATGAATCAAATTAGGAGCTGGGGTGGAGGTGGTCCGTCGGGAGCTGGCAGCTGCGTGCACCTGTCACCAACGAGACCAGAGCATCACTGAAGTCGCCAGTCAATACTGAGGTCATGTGCGCAGGCGCTTTCTCTCTCACCACTCCTCTTACTTTAGCGAAAATGTTCATGAATTATTATAATGGTTGTATGCTTCACGATGAAAGCTAATTCATGCTCATGGTCTACACCTGTTGAGGCCAGTTTAAGCCTATCATTTGATTTGCTTGCAAATTCAAGATAAATCTTTTAATGCTGAACCTCCGAGAGTTAACCTCCTCTCTTCAAATCTCTTTAATTTTCTCGTGATAAACCTCTTTTTCTCTTTAGTATAGAGGTACTTGAAGGTCTTTATGGTATTCAATAATTTTAATATTTGCCTCATTTTGCGACGTTATAATTCAACAATATGCAACTATTATTTCATAACTATAATTGTACAGTGTTCCCTATTTAATCCTTGATTTTAATGAAATATTAAGATTTAGTGGAAATATAAATGGAGAGACCAACCTTTTTCCTGCAATAAAAAGGCCTCGTCCAATTGAAATTATCTGTTTCGAAATCCGACTCGCAAAATCCGAAGGAGTCGCTTGCGGGATTTCCATTCCGCTATTCAAAAAACGTTAGTTTTTGATCCCTTATTGTTTATAATTTTCATGATATGTTCATCGATGTTTGTAGACGATAATAACGATGGAAAATATTATAACTTGAAATTATATTTTCTGGATATTATGGGATTAATGTTCTCTGAAAATTATAGAGAAATTAATGGAATCTAATTTTACTAGACAGGTACGAATGACAAAATACAAAACGGCAACAAGAACGAAAGATACAATTTGAAAATTATCATTCAATTTCGATCTAAAAAATTTCATTACATTTTTATTTCATGGCCGAGTCAGGTCGTTCAAAACAACTCTTAAAAAAAGTTTATTGCGATCTTGCCTGTCCTAAAATATGTTTCTACATTAATTACAAATAATTATTATCATTGCTCGATTATGTTTAATTTAATTAAGTTTAATTAAAAAAAAGAAGTTTGATTCCAAATTACCGTATAGGTTTGATAAGTGGTTTACTTGAGTCATAAGCTGTATCCGAACATAAATTTGTAAATATATTACAGTTCTTGTACAAAATTTACTAAGTTAAAATCGATTATCCTGACTTGAAACAAACATGTTAATTCATTTTTTGCAGTAACTAACTCCTTGCAATAAATTGTTCTATCTCAAATTATACAAATTTTTTAAAGCTTTATACACGTTAATTCATACGTTTTATAGTTTATTATATATTCCTGTCGATTTATCATGTATTAATTATTGACGTTTCATCGTGTATTGTTAATGTTTTATTATGTTATTATGTATTATTGACGTTTCATCATGTATTGCATATGAAATTAACGATTAAAAGAACTATGACCTATTGTTGTCGGTAGTTGTACTCGTTATAATCCTCATCGATGGTCAATAGCGCCTCGTCTGACGCTCGCCTCGTCCCACCCTCGTCGTCTGCGATCAAATAAAGATTTTCGTGAATGAACTTCAATTTTTATTTTTACTTAATATTCCTAAAAAAATTTGAGGCAGAGTGAAATTCTAATATAATATCAAAAATTAATTCTTGAATTTGTTTAGTTGATCTTGTGTCACAAGTCATGCTAAAATTCGTGGTCCTGTATTGTTATAATCTCAGATGCATTGACGCGCTACTGATTTCTTGATTAAGACGTATATATACATATAATATCTAAAATGAATTCTTGAATTTGTTTTGTCGATCTTGTGTCACAAGTCATGCTAAAATTCGTGGTCCTGTATTGTTATAATCTCAGATGCATTGACGCGCTACTGATTTCTTTACCAAGACGTATATATACATATAATATAAAATACATGGTAACTTGCCCCCAGTTGACCCACCCCGGTCCAGCAGAGCGATGTTGGTAGCAGATCCGTTGGGTGAGGTGGCGACGATCTCTCGAGGCAGCGGCACCGGCGTCATCATCTTGGGGCTGTGGTTGTTCACACGACCGCCCCCACGACAGTTGTTGCAGGAGCCGCCCATGAGCAACACGTCGAAGAAAAACTCGGCGATCTCAAGAAGTGAGGCGATGGAGAAGCCTAGGAATAGCCCCATGTTGCCGCCCACCTCGGCTATGAAGGAGAATATCTGAAAGATGAATGGGAAATTATGTGCGAAGTGGCAAATGTGACTGTTGGCTATTATTCATGAGTGTAACGAATGAGAGACAACATTTTTAATAGAATGTAATGTATTGAAATTGCCATTGCAAAAAGTTCATGTATTGAAACTACAATGCAATGATGATGCATAAAAAAATTATTTTATGTAAACTTGCAAATCTTCGTTACTCAAATATCCAGTAATTGTACGACAATTACATTTTGCCTTGATATTGGTGTTCCGGAAAGTAATAAAAACGATCATAATTGGCAAAGATAGATAAAGGCTTTTAATTTCTTATATTTCTAATGTATTTAAAATTAACTCCATTTGTGCTATTTTCCAAGCTCACAGTTTTAGCGGGCAGTTAATATCATATGACTCGTTAATATCAGTTAGCGTTGTTGGCAATTAATATCAGTTTTAGCGGGCAGTTAATCTAATATGGCTGGATTTCAATCGAGGCTCACAGTTTTAGCGGGCAGTTCAGTGATAGTTTCTTGCTGCAGATTCTCCAGGTACACATGTAGCCTCACGGTGCTGTTCTGGGACCTGAATTATAGTTCACTCTTATCATTTGACTCAGTATGCTATTTAAAAATTAAAATATGCTGCGGCCGTTAACAATAAATGCTTTTTATCTCTCAAATCATAAAATAGAGCTTATCAGATACGCAGCAGCAAATCATCTTGAGTAACAGGGGAAAATCAAGCAATACTTATTGTTATAGGCGTAACTTTGTGGGTTTGACAAACTCACGATTACATCGACGACAATTCTAAGTTAGTGAAATCAACCGTCGTCGTCGGTAACTGAACACTTGAATATAATTAGTTTATTTTTCATGCTTGGTTTCAACTGAAATGAACGGCACTTACAATGAGCAGACGTCTTCACCGACGTAAATGCCTTTGGCGTTCTTGATGAGGTTGAAGAATCTCATGTTGACCTGGTTTGTTGAAATGAGAGGCGTGTATATTTCGTCACTGCAAAAGATAAGAACAATAATTAGGTCAATTTTTTCCGCCCCAATCTCTTTGGAGCTTATGACGTGACGCTTAAAAGAATAATAATAATTTATATGTAGGAAGGGAATATTTATCAACAAATTACTGCTTCAATATGCTTCATTTGAAATGAAGAGCCATACTTCAACTGTTCATGATGCAGTTAAAATCACAAAACTGTAATTTCTTGAGTAGAGAAAGTCATATTGAAATTTAATACAAATTTACTTGTCGTTTTGATGAAGAAAAGGTGAAGAGCTACAGTATTATCAAATTTGAAATTCTTATGATAGGCGATCAGCTGACTCTTGCCTACGATTTTCATGAAATAAATAAATAAATTAGCGCTATGAAAACCAACAGACTCACTCGCAGTTGGGAGGACAGTGACAAATATCTTTCTCCGTGGTTCTTTTGATCTGCACCTGGCGACATAAATCTGCACAAAGAACTAGGAGTTAAGACTGTTTGAGAATGAAACAAATTATTAAAAATCAACTGCAGTAAGTGAAAATCTTATTTTTCTGCTTAGCTGATGTATATGCATTAAAAAATCTGAATTTCTTCGATATTATTTTGCCCCAAATTTATGGAATACAATAGCAGTCTGTAATTGGATCAGAATCATCTTCTGAAATAACTTAAGAAATTAACATAATAAATAATTTACGAAATGATGATTGAAGATGTCATAAAATGGTATAATCGAGGCTGCGAATGGCATCGTATGGGAGGTTACCGAGGTTACCTACATAAGCGAGGTTACCGAGTTTACCCACCATCATACGGATGTTACCCCTGCGTCATACCGAGGTTAGCTCTGCGTCATACCAAGGTTACCCCTGCGTGATACCGAGTTTACCCCTGCGTGATACCGAGGTTACCTCTGCGTCATACCAAGGTTACCCCTGCGTGATACCGAGGTTACCCTGCCTTCTTTAGGTTACCCTGGGTGAGGTTGGTGGGGTTGCAGCGTGGTAGGGGTGTGCGCAGCGCCAGCAGGAGGTCGTTGATGGCGTTGGTGCAGTGGCAGTTCTTCTGGATGAGGCGTTCAGTGCACAGCATACGGCACGACTGCTCACATACACACAGCAAAAATTAAATTTTTATTTAGATTTTATCAGCATATTTTTGAATTATTTTTTTTTCGCCATTAAAGTAAACATAAAATCACTAAAATCTCAATATGCAGCAATTAAACCTGAAATATATTCTTTTATAGCCAAGATAATAAAAATAGCAAAATAAAATTGTAGAAATGCTACCAAGATTTAACAAAAATATGGAAATTAAGATGATATACCCACCGTCTGACTGTACTCGCGGGGGTTTGTCCCCCATTCCCGAGGGTGACATTCCCCGTGAGGGGGGCCAATGCGGTGGATCACTTTCTGGCCGGTAAAACATACGGAGATTATTGGCCAAGAACGTACAGGTTGAAGAATAGTAGCAACAATTTCAAAAATCTCTTGTGTGTAGATGCGATAAAAACTTAAGTGAATTGCATGAAAAAATATCCTCTCACTTTGAATGAGAAGCTGTCATCAGAGTAAAGAGAATTTTTTCTCGCACAAACGCAGCGTATTAGACTATTATTTTTAAGAATCTTGCCTTGGTTTAAATTCCAGGTTATAGTGTATGCCACACAAAAATAAATTTTAGATTCACTATCACTAGTCACTGGAATTATAAAAAATATAACTCAGTACTCACTGCAGTGAGTGACAGAGAGCGCATTTTCTCGTCGACGAAACCTTGAGGTCACGGACAGACGGACGGACAGACACAGACAGACGGACATGGCGAGCACAATAGTGCATTTTTTCCATAAATGAGAAAATGCGCTAATAAAAGCAAATATATTTATTCATTAGTTAAAAAAATAATGAACTAACCCTCCTAATGCCGATGGAGGTAAGGAAGGCCGGGGAGACCGAGAAGCCCTCCTCCTCAGGGATGGGGGTGACCCGCGGGTGATGGACCACGGCCCGCACGCCGAGGTCGGACGACAGCAGCGACACGTAGTTAGTTACGTCCAGGTTCAGGGTGAGGCGGAGGCCGTTCTGAGGCACAATGAATAATTCAATAGAGTACTTTAAGACCATCAATAGCCTTCCAGTGTATCAGATGTACAGAAAAATTTGCCTTTATTTCTGAATGCACAGGATTCATTAGGGTATTTGAAAACAAAACTGAATTATTGGGGTATCGATTGTAGAGAAAATATGTTTTGGTGTATGGGCACGAAATACATATCTATTTCCAGCATAAATATTTGGCTCATGTAAGAGCTAGTGAGGACCAAGCTTCTAGGAAGTACACTTAACTTGGACTTGACTATTTATTCGTTTTCATTGGAGTAAAAACAAGCCCATCAGGTCTCACCTGGTATCCTGCCTTCCTGGTCTTCCTTATGTTGTCCTTGACGAAGCCTCCATCGTCGCGCTTCAAGTAGAGGTTAGGCGAGTTGAACGTGAAGCAGTTGCCGTATGAGTCGCTTTGCCATACGTAGAAATCCCTGACACGGATACGACACAAAATTGATATGAAGCTGAAAATTCGGGTATAATTCCACTGAAACAATGATTTTATCAACTATTAATCGTATTAATTTCATCAACTATTATTAATCTTACTACAATTAAGTAACGAAAAGTACTCATTTGCGGATGTGTGGCTCATAAATACATGAATTAAATGAGATTATGGTAGATATGTAGGAATGGCACAGTCTTTTGACCATTAATAATACATATGACCATTGGGCAATAATATCATTCATTCGTCCATTGACCATGGTCGATTCCAATTGGAAATTATTATTGCCCATTGAGCCCAATGGTCGAATGACCATTGGTCATCCTGATTGAAAATGTTATGTAGGCACAGCCTTTAGATAAATTACGAACATAATGTTGTGCGCAGTTATTTTATAATATTTATTAATATCTGACTTGAAGGAGCAGCTGGTCTGGTCGAAGGTGCAAGCAGTGATAAACTCTTGAGGTTTAACGCCTAAGTCGTGAATTTCTTCAGCCGAGGGAGTGAAGGCCTCCTTCAGGTCGCTCAGGTCAGGCTTCTTGCTCGCCTGCAGCAGCGCACTGAAGTTGTACGGGTCAACGTCTTCCATCCCTGCAATCATTCAATCAATCATTCCTGCAGTTATTTTGCAATCATTCCATTCCAATCAAATTAAAGACTGCTCCGTTAAAGAAGATATATAGTGAAAGGTGTATAGAACATTTTTAAAGTTAAAATAAAAATATTTTTCGGGTAAATAGTAAATTTTACAACTAATTCATGTAAGTAATGAGTGAATGATTGCAATTCGACAATTGCGTCGTTGGATAAGTTATTTAGATCTCACATTAGGGTCTGTTCAACCCCATTTGTAGGTTATCATACTTCATAGTGAGTTCTTTTAATATATCACTCCATGACTAATTATTGCCTATAAATATTGCTTATAATTACAATGTTTACCGTTAGTTTGGAGGCAGTCGGTAGGGCGCTCTGTGTGGCACCAGTTCACGCTGCGGGTGCGAGCGTCGTAATGAGGGACGTAACCCTCGTACTCACGAACTGAGGGCACGTCATTGTCATTGTCAATATTGTTGGTGGCGAGGGCATTTTAAGATTTGATCAGAAATGTCAGAAATACGCATGCAATGATGAATTCATGTAGAGGTTCATTATCGCTCAAAACCCATTCTTTGTACTCACAAGATTCATCGAGTAATGTGTCGTTGATGAGGCTTTCGTTGAAGACTCCAGGAGCTGAAATGATCACGAGTCACATTATGGAATAAGTTTGAAAATGTCTGCGATTAATAATAACGCAAATTTGTTTACGTCATTATGGATTTTTGTCCAGATAATTTCTATGTATTTCCATAATGAGGATTCGCCAGATTAATTGTTAAAAGAAAGTGATCACTACGTTAAAATTTTCGGAATTAATTTTCAAGTAATAGATACTTTCTTTTACAAGTTGTTTAGATCATCAAAGAAACGCCAAATGCAATCCGAATATATAAGCTCTGAAGGTTCCAAAAGTTACTGAGTACAACATTATGTCTGTAATTTGTCTAAAGGCTGTGACTATTTAACATTTTCAATAAGAATTTTCGCTTACCTTCAGTGGAATAGAACTCAGGTTCGGGGAATTCTTCCACATTCCCTGCAAATTAAAGATCAAATAAAATTATGAAATTATTTAAGTGTGATATTTCTTTTAATTTAGTTTTTTTTCATAATTGTTACTCCAATTGAATTTGAAATTCAACACAAGACCGGCATGCAATTCATTTCAGTATTTCTTATTTTAAGACAAATATAAATGTTACCTGTTGGGTTGCTTTCAACTGCTCGCTTTCTGCGTCGAACTGGGTGAAGAAAAAACTTCATTTACGGGAGCACTGAATGTTATTAACACAATGTAATATTATTACCACGTAATACAGTATATATCAAAAATTGTTCCTCTTCAGCGCAAAAATTTATTGATGTGAAGAAAGTTTCATTTCACCGCGGCGTATTTATTTACCTCTCTGATAAATAATTTTGCAGACATTTCAATAAAATTATACGCTAAAAATATATAATTTCGCATAGCAGCATAAAGTTTTATGATATAGACTGGAGTAGTAATTATTTATTAGTAGAATAACAGATGCAAAGTTACTTTTACCGTATATTCATTTTCATCGTAAACTACTAAATCTTATCTGGAATAATCATATACACAATTTTTTACAAAATTGAAATAGAATTAATAAAATAATTTATTTATCGGATCAATCACCAACTTAGTCATCAAATATTTATACAAGTATTATAAAAGTGCTTAAAATTCTCAAAAAGAGTATTTACTCATTAATAGTGGTGCTCTATATTAGCATTTTTTGGTTTACTGTTGGGGTACTCACGGATGGATGAGTCCTGTATGACTGCATTGGGCGGGAAATTATAATATTTATATATTATATTAGAAGAAAAGTTGGGGAAACTTGTAAGCAAAAGTTGTCGTAAAAAAATATGAATGCGTTGAATGCGCGCATAAAATTTTTCTAATTAGCCAATTATACAATAAGAACCATAGGACAAATAGCATTTTTGCCCCAGGGGTGGGGCAATGGGCCCATTACAAATAGTGTTTCATTAAAAATTGAATAACTCTATAGGCATCTAATTCACATCATACATTCCTCATTAGTTGTACCTTTAAACAAAACAAAGAACCACCTCGTATCAATTAAAACTTCATCAAAAATTTAGTTTAAAAAAAGTGGGGGGCGTGCTGTCCCATGTTGCCCTTTCTGTACAAAAAACCTCACATATATCTCTGAGTGATGTCAAGCCTCACCAGGACAGCCGTCAGCGCAGTACGCCCACACGCCGGTGTACTGGCCCTCCTCGTCCACCTGTACACTTCACTTTATACCACACTATTATCACCAGTATTATTACATATTACATCTATATCAGGGTATACAAACCTAGAATAATTTACGTCTTTAACAATCACTTTTATTACAATATGTGATTAAACTTCACAGCAGGCGCCTTTTGATCTTCACTGCGTAGCTTTGTCAACATTCTACGTCTATAGAATTTAAATGTTGTTTTGCCATGTATTTGAATAGTAGTTCTGTTCTATCATTTCTGATAGACTCTGAATTAGATCGATCCTATTAGAGTCTCTCAGAGAATATGTAGCACAATTTAAATAAGTAGCACAAGAGATGAGCATTGATAAAACACAATTATTTATAATAAATATTATAAATTTTAGATCAATCCCATTTATAAATTGATTAGAATAATTTGTCCTGAATAGAACACTAGGTCGAGCCTCACGCATGTGGTTCACCGATCGCGCTCTTCTGTAGATGTCAGATAGATTTGAATTTTTATTAATGTAATTCGGAATAACATAAGTTGACTATCACATCAGTAGTATTAACTATGAACCAAACCTGAGTAGGGCACCAAGATCGTCCGTCAGAGAGGGCCACACACGCGCTGTAGCTTACGCCGAAATAGTAGTACGGGAACACGCAGTTCTGGCTCTCAGCCACGGTGGGGCATGACGTTGGTTCTGTCGTGGATCAATGGTTCTTATTAGATTAATAATTGCAATAATATTGTCAACTTTGAAGTTATTTGACTACTAATCATTTTGTAATAATGGTATCAACGTTAAATAGGCCAAATCTGGCCTGTTGCTGATTCTATACATCGCATAATATATAGTAATTGCTGGGTTTCAAACCCACTACTAACTGTTCCAATCTTTCTATTTCAACCACCCGACACCTCACCGTTTTTGTCCATAAGTGTCACTGGAAAATGAAATCCGAATTCGCTGACGATTTTCGAAGAAGCAACGTACTTTTACTCCGATATAGAGTGAACACGTAAATGTCTTAGAAAGACTTACAAAACGACTCTGAATGGAAGTTAACTTTGGTCTAGACCATTTGTGTAGTATACGGGATGCCTAATATAATAATGAAACACTAAGAAGTAATGCTCTCAAATTTGTTGATACGTTCTATGTATTTTAACTTTTGTTTACTCATGTATTATTCTTAGGATTATCATACAAAATGCATGATGTTTTTGTCGGAAGTTTGGATTGTTTATATTCACGAATTTTTGTGAATATAAACACGGAGTGTGATATTTATATTATATAAATATTCACGAATATTTATTCACGGAGTGTGAATGAAAATTTACTTACGCGTGGTTGTAGTCGGCCGAGTTGTAGTTGTGGTGGTGGTTGTAGTTGTGGTTGTGGTGGTGGTTGTTGTGGTTGGAGTTGTGGTGGTTGTAGGGATGGTTGTGGTTGTCGGCTCTCCTGTGGTTGTAGGTTCAGGCTCAACAAAATGGTTGTAGTCGGCCGAGTCGTAGTTGTGGTGGTGGTGGTTGTAGTTGTGGTGGTGGTTGTTGTGGTTGGAGTTGTGGTGGTTGTAGGGATGGTTGTGGTTGTCGGCTCTCCTGTGGTTGTAGGCTCAGGCTCAACAAATTTTTGGCTCCTTCTGGAGTCCAAGGAGTTTATCTTCCTGCAAAAATTACTCCGGTTTCATTTTCATTTAATTTTTCCGGAATTTAATTCAATGGGAGATTTCATTATTCATGCGTCACTATAACGATATTACGACGACCGTTGTTTTCTTTGTTACTATTATTGCTTCTAGGCAGACAACCTTAATGTATGTAGTTCTTATTATTTTACTGGACATTTTCGTTTAGCATGATAAACTGAGCATAAAACACAAATGTTGGTTAATTTTAGTCGGATCTTTCCATCGTGGAAAGACAAATTTTGCTGTTAAAATCGCCTTGTTCCACGAGGTGAGTTTCCATCGTGGCTTTCAAAGTAATTCGGATTAATTGTAATGGCTAGGTCATTTCTCATTATGTTGTCGGATATTTAACATTCAGTTCAATATGTTAATTACCAATAGTCTTGAGCAGAGAAGGGCTTGAAGTCTTTATCCACTATCCAGGGCGCTTTTTGGGCGTACCCCTCGCAGCTCCCTGGCAAAATATTACTGTATCATTATAATTGTATATTAAAATCTATAAAATAATACTAAATCACTTCGTAATCTGCATCATTTTTCGCTCAGTGTTCTTATATTAACATATGTTGTTACTAATATCGTAACTATTCCATACTAATAACGTTAGTGACAAATATAAGCCATCGAGCGAGTAAATAATAGTATCGCTTGTTTGAATAATACAAATTCAACAAATGTGTATCTAAAAGTTAGTTATCAATATTATGAATTTAAAACGAACTAAAAGGAGAATCAAATTAGGAAACTCTGGTGAAAACTTTATGAAGATTTTAATTGTCTCCAAGGTATTTCTATGAATATTGTAAATTAGAAAAACAAATCTGGCTGAACTTACCGCCTTCTGAGTCGCGCTCGAGCTCCATGAGGGAGGCAAATTTACTATTTCTCAAAGCGCTAAGTTTGACGACGTTGAAATTGCAGACTGTCACTGCTGGGAATAAGACTTCGTCCTCTTCCAGCAACTGATCCAGAAAAATAATTTTTAATAAGGCTTATGAACATTTTGCCGTCATTCATTCATTCATTTTTACGATAATAAAAGCAAATCCATATAGACGATACTTGAAAAACATTCTCGTTCCATACTTGGATCATTCGAAAGTAACGTGCCTGCATGACTTGTGTCTACAACTGAAATAATTAATTTGAAATCATTGAAAAATTATACATCAGCTTGATCATAGCGGTCTCCGAAAGTCTCTCCTGCTACGTGTGTAGAGTTTGTTTAAGGAGTTATTCTCGTTAGACCCACTGCTGAACTTAGTTACCTTAAAAACAACCTAACAATTGGAGTCATTAAAAGTTATTTGATCTCACCTCGATGGTAACCTGCTTCTTGTACTGCAGGTACTCCTGCGTCAGGTTGAGGATCTGCAGCACCAGCAGCAGGAACAGCAGCACGGATATCGCCGCCCACACCAGCCGCCGTATGTGAGTGCGGCCACTGGTCGACCTGAACGCGCACCGACATGGCAGGAAATTTCTGATGCGTTTAATATTTTCTTTAACCGTTGAAACTGTTTTGACCGAGTTTAGAGGGGCTTGTTTAGGAAAAATTGTTGAGAGAGTTTTGACTTGCTTGACTGCAGCCGACTGTTTGACTTACTTTTGAGACTTACTTGACTGCAGCCCAAAGTAGCAAAATATAGATCGTAATAAAAAAATTTTGATTAGTAGTCAATTAATCAGTTGCTCCACAATTATGGGTATTAATAAGTTAAAGTCAAAAATGATACATGAAACATCTATTTAATTTAACATAATATCAAACAATCTGCACGAGGATTCATGGCACCGTTATTTCTAGGCACGTTATTTCATGAGGCACCGTTATTTCTAGCGCAGCGGACCTTGGCAGGGCGTGGCCGCTGAACTTGTTGCTCAGGAAGTCCTCGGTGAGCTCCTTGAGGGTGTCGGGCTCGTCCTCGTCAGAGTCCTCCGACGCCTTGCCGAACAACCTCGGCCGCTCCTCAGCCTTCATCTGGCAAGCAGGAAAATATCCTATGCAATAAAACTTCAACTGTTTCACTATTTTATTGTATTTTAATATTGCAGTATTGAACTCTACAAATTTTACAGTTATATATGATTTGATTTAAAGCAAAAACTTCCACTAGTTGGCAGACATCTTTTCGGAATCATAAATTTGAAATGAAACATTTTTGTATTTCAGAAACAATTGAATAATAAATGTTAGAAAATACAGACGTTCTGTTCCCAATTTTTATATATTTCTTACTCTGTCGGATTTCCTTCTTGATCCTTTAACTTGAACGAAATCCGCTGTCGAGCCTATGACGACCGTGCGATGTGAAGCGCCTGCAGGGGAATGCAGTCGGGGCGCTACAGACGAATTGCGTGAGTGTGCCGACGTGTTCCCAGGAGATTGCGTAGATTGTATAGATGATCCACGCGTATCTTGGTGTCGAGGCACAGGCGAGAGAGATCTTGGCTCGCCTGGTCCTGGAATAGAATTGCGTTCGCTTTGGTCGGATGAGAGATACAGAGGACGAACGGGTGATCGTTGTGCTGGATAATGAAGAGCTGAAGACGGTCGTGACGAGGCTTGTGAGTTTGATCCCTTTTTCGGACTTGGATTGATTTGTGAGTTATAATTAACTTCAGCAGAGCTTCGGGCAGATGAGTTCTGTTGCTGCAGATGATGTTCCGACGAGTCCTCGACAGGTGAACTCTGCCGGTTTGATGGTGAAGCCGAGGTCGCAATTTTGGCTGGCGTATATGTGACCTGTGGAGTTTCGATAGCGGATTGCAGAGCAGGCGACGATGCGGCCGAGCTGCCGAATTCGAACTCAGCGTAGGACTTGTACATGCAGCAGCTTGCAGCCTACAATATGAAAAAATATATATTTTGTGGGAAATTGTGCTTCTTCGAAGCCTCTAACCCTAAATATACGTGGTCTATTTGAATGCGTATCTACAATGTTTTAGAATATTATCGAGGTCTGAAGTTTTATTTTTATTAGCATAAAAGCCCTAAAGCATTTCAAAAAGGGAGAAGTGTAGCATTAATTTAACAATTCAATGTTATTTTTTATATTGTACGGGGGAATATCAAACATCAAGATCATCTATATCGAACAACGTCTGATTAACCGGTTATATATGATACATAAGGTGCAAGTACAAACGAAATAACTGTAATTCTATGAATACTTCTGTATTTGATTTAATTTTATTCATAAATAATTTCATTCACAGGCTATTTTAGCTGAGGACATAGCAACAGTTTTTTCCATCGAGGTTATGATCCTCAGCATTCGTAAAATGAAGGATACTCAAATAAGTCACTTTAATTACACAGAAAATGCAGAGCTATTCCTTTTATGTGAAGGTCTTGCCGTCACTTAATGTCATAATATTCCTTGAACGTAATTACTTATTTGTTCCTTATTGTAATTCATTCTATACATTAGACACTCACGCGATAACTTCAAAATCCACCCTAGCAAATAAATAAACCTTCGTGATTTACTTGTGATATATGGAGACATTAAATGCTCCGTCGTTAATTACGTCTGTTAGCCATGACTGCGGGTCGTGTTGTCTGGAGCATGTCAGTTGAACAGTCTGTTGAACAGGTACCGGCATTCATATTTACTGTTACAGTGATAAGAAGTTCGGTGATCGCAAAGTAGAAGACACCGTAAAGTCAAGTAGATAAACTTTTTCATTTATAAGTTATAGTTTTTGGCTGTATCCCGTCCTATTTTAAAACATCCGGTCATTTTTAAATCTAATGCATGGCCGATGGCTCAAAAATTTCAATCGATGCGCGATAAACAATTTCAAACGATGACCACAGTTGCAAGGACAATGCTAACATTTAATTTTCGAAATTAATCTACTACATTCTCAGCTGCTCGTAATTTCGACAGGACCAGAGTCACGGACAGACCACTGTGAAGACTAATGTCCAGCAAAATCAATGTCCTTGCATGAGCAGTCGGCTCCGTGTTCACATCCCTTATACTACATGAGCTTACCGTTTCAAACAAATTATTTCAATTACACGCGGATTGAGGCTAAGGTCGCGACAGTTATGCGCCATCGTATTTTAAACCTCGAGCACCAACTATTATTAGTTATATTCATTAATTGTTACTAATCATAGTATAATTTACACGTATTAGGACAATGTTACGCAAGATGTAATGGAGTCAATGACAGAGTAGAAACTCGACTTTTAAAATACGTTGACGCATCGACGCCAGAACCTTCATTTGGTATTACAAACATATATGCGCTGGCCTTGACTAGTGATTTCTTTTCATTTAATTGACCTAGTAGACACTAAAATCTCGATAAAATATCAGATAATTCGTGTGCAGGATACCTTGCAGTAATATTAATTTTGATCACTTGACAAAAGGATCTAATGGCGCTAGCAGCCTGCATGGCTTGAATTGAGGCAGTTTTGCACGTGTGAGTCACGTTACGGCAAATTAAGGGTGCTCCAGGAAGAGCTGTAATCGATGTCCGTGATTGTAGGAAGCTTTTGATGACCTATGATGAGCAGCTGTGCGTGCCTAGTTGTAATTCAAATACGCTAGACGGAGCAGACCAATTCGCAATGATCGTTGAACTTTGGTTAAGGAGTTTTTCAACTTTTACGATCGCTAGTGAGCAATATAATTTTCCTTTGACATTATCTGAATTTATAAATTTTTCTTCGTGATAGCAGGGGCTGAAAATTTCCTGGATTTTCTCATCAAGTGAAATACGAACAGGTAGCTTGGAATGCTACATGCTCGAGAAACTCGATCTGGCCAGAAATGTTGGTTCAAAAACTGCCAGACGGAGGCAAGTTAGGTAAAATTAACAAAGTTTAAAAATTTAGGTAAAATTTTTCAACATAAATAAAAAAGTAATATACTACAACTTTATGTGGTTCGAAGTAGGATATGCAAACAATACATTTCTTATATAAGAAAAATGTTTTCGAAGTCAGTGAAAATTTTGCCATCAACTAAAGATAAAAAAGTTATCAAACTACGGATGAAATTCTCTTATCGATATCACAAATTTGTTATCTATTACTTAAAAAGTGGCCGAATTCTTATGAAAGTGCAAGAAAAATTTTCTATGTTTATTAGGTAGAGAAATGATACGGTAGTTTGTGATGCATAAATCTAGCCTCCACCTGACCATAAGCAATCCATCCTACTGAGCCGCGCAGGATGCGGCTAGGATGAAATGCGTGGTCCTTGTTCCTCTGACTTATACGCCGAGTGTATGCTGCAATAATTCATAACTGAAAGTAACTTTCTCATGAATGAAAGTAAGTTTATATTTCCTCTATTGCTACTGCATATCTAAAAGTAATGTGGGGTCATTGCGACCTACTGATCTAATTCTCGCTAACTTAAAGAATTCTTACATCATTTGATGTTTCCGTCACTAATTGTTTAAAGGAGTTAGGTGTAATGACTCAAGTTTCTGCCCATAATGGTTTCAGTTAATAATATTGATGAAGAGTTTTTTACATCAACTAAGTATAAATGACGTATGACCTGTGTTTTTGAAAATATTTTAATGTTCCGTCTGTAAATGTGTATTATTTTAGTAATAATTATTTTGCTTGAGATCTAAAAGTATGTAGGTCTATAAATAGTTATTTCGAGCCACATGGCATTGACAAAACTTGATGCGACTCATGCTAACAATAGAATGTGCTAACAATACACTTTGAGGAAAATTGTGAAATAGTAGTAACGGTGAAAATAAGGTTTAGTAAGCGAATTAGAAAGAGTGTCTGCATAAATTTCCGAACTAGCAACTTATTATCAAAGAAAATGAATAGTAAAAAACTGACTTGAATCGTGATTTCAAAAGCATGTATTCACTATTTTGGCTCATCTTTCTATCATACCCTCATCCTAATTTCATTATTAAGATGCACTATGACGTCTCGCGAAGTGATATATGACGTCTAAAATCAGAGCCTGCAGAAATATGAATATATAAACAAGACTATAGTAACTACAGAGCCAGTTTCGGTTGCATGAGCGATAAGACGGCGTCAGGTTCAAGCTTTCGCTCGCTATTCTTAGCAACATGAGCGACGTGACCGAGCTTTGTTGAGGGTGTTTGTGCACTGTACATGTACAGTCGTAATCTAATTTCCCTTCAAAAAACCTGCTTAACTGTCGTTGGAATATTAACGGAAATGTGTCATGTTACATAGATATTATTTGCTTTAAAAGAGGGAAAAAGGTTTTCATCATGCAGCAACACAGGTTTTGTAATGCGATCGTTGAACATGGTTTGTCTAATTCGACGTATTTTCAAACAAAACTCATTATGCAAAGGATAAACTTTGAACTTTTAGTAATTACTTTCTCAGAGACACTCGAGTACGTGCAGGATTTAGCACAAGCTCCTGATAAGCTCAGTAGGTCAGGGTTAACCTGGCTAAATGGCAGCTGCAACCAGCATTTTAAAATTCAAAAGTCCTTAGACACTATCTTGGTTTAATTTATTGCAATAGCGCATTCGAACAGGAAATTGAAACTATTTTTTCAACTATTTTGAATTTAATTATTGAATTTCTCGAAAACTAATGAACCACTAAGTTTTTATTTAGTCATTTGTTTATAATATTTTGATTTTCCAAGAACCATTAAATGTCTTCTTAATGTTCCAGCCTAATCGAATGTTGTGCACTTTTGATCTGCAGAGACAACTTTTTGGCGGTGATTTAAGAAGCAACAAGTGAATCTGAAGTACATATGAGCGCTGGTGAAGACGGAGTCACTCTAAATAGTGAGGTCACAGGACCGGACAAGCAGTAATTTGCAGTTCATAGCCTAGATTTTCGCCAAGGATCGATGGTGATAATCGTCATGCTGCTGTTACTCACTCATGGGCACAAATAGGCCTTACTTCGCCAGCCGTAAAATTGTGATATTATGTGTGCTTAATTAACGCCTTTTGCTAAAATTTTCGAGATTTTCAGTTGAAAAATTAGACATTTTATATATGTAATTATGAATATTGTAATCAGGCATTACTCACTTTATCAGTATATCACTGAACTTGGTAAATAAATATGAGCTCGACAACCTTTCAGTTTTCCACCGTAAGGGAATGTTCTGGAATTGCCGATAAAAAGTTCTTGTATCGAGTGAATCTTAAAAATTTAGATAATTTCTGTTTTTAAACTTGATACTTATTTCACGTATGAGATCTTCATGCCTGCCTGCAAAATCACGAGTAAAAGGTTCTTCATGTGGGCCCAAAGTGCAGGGGCGGTGGAAATCGATGACGAGACGAGCCCGACCTCAGGATTTGCTGCACTGCGAGGCACTCAGCTTAAGCAGTCTGCGCCTCCTTGTGGCACACGAGTCTCAGGCACACCAATAGTGCCAAGAGCAGCCCATGCGTCACTGTGGCACACTATATATAGTTTCAGGCACACTAATAGTGCCAAGAGCAACCACGGCGTCACTGTGGCACACTAGTCTCAGAGGCAGCAATAGTGCCAAGAGCAACCCATGCGTCACTGTGGCACACTATATATAGTTTCAGGCACACCAATAACGCACTGCGTCCACGCAACAAACTTTGTGCATGTTCTTCGGTGTCATGACACAAATTAGTTATACGTTCCATAGTGCTATTTTTCCCCTTGTGTGACGATAGATGTCCGGAATTAAAAACAAAAAATAGTGTAAACCAGTTCGTAACTTTTTTGCCATGAACGAGAATTTTCAAAATATTGCACAAGCAAAATTTCTTTCAACGCCGCACTATCAATTTACGTTGTGTCATCTGATATTAATCTTTCACACATTAAAGCTGTAAAATTGA